AGCCTGGTGAGGATGGCTGCCAGCACTACAGTCCCTGAGGTTCTAGACCCAGGGTATCTGTGCTTTTCCAGGGGACAGATGTCACCATGCTGCAAAAACTGAACAGTGTCCATGGCAAGAACCAGGCCTTCCTGCAGCCCAGGAACATCCACGATACCAGATTTGGCATCGCCCATTTCGCCGGCAAGGTGTACTACCAGGTAGAAGGTAGGCTTGTCTCCTCTCACACTCCCTCCTTCCAAGTCTGCATCATCTTCCAGGGAGGCCAGGCAGGAAGGCTGAGGGGACTAAGTCACTTTCACAGAGCTAGAAAAGGGAAAGGAAATAGAAGGGACCGGGCATATTTGGTCTTCACTCTGGGGTAATGCTGTCACTCTCATTCACATGCCATACCCTTCACCCACTGTGCGTGTGCACTCATGGTTTCTAGGATAGGCAGAGCTGGGTAACTATTGCCATCATTTTATTTTATTTTTTTAAAAGATTTATTTTATTTATGCACACAAGAGCTGGGGTACAGGCCAGAGATGCGGGGGGTGAGAGGATCCATCAGAGACAGAGTGGGGAGCAGAACAGGCAGACTGACCAAAACACACTGCTGAGGGGAGCAGCGGGCGAGTCAGGAGAGGTCTGCTGCGCCATTTGGGTTTCTCCCTGGCCGGCCGGGGATCGAACTTGTGCTGCAGAGGCTGCGGATTGCTTCATGGTGCGGTGCTTAACCCCTTGCACCACCAGGGACGCCCTATTGCCATCATTTTAAAACACTTCATACCCCAAAAGAAACCTCCATCAGCAGTAATTCCTCATTTCCCCGTTAACGAGGCAACCACTAATTTCTGGTCCTCTGGATTTGCACTTCATATAAATGCAAGCGTGTGATGTGTAACCATTGTGACTTCTTAGCATAATGTTTTCAAGTATCATCCTTGTAGCCTGTGTCAGTACTTCATGTACATCATTGTTGGTGAAATGTCTATTCAAATCCTTTGTTCATGTTTTAGCTGGGTTGTCTTTTTATTTTCTAGTTGAATGTGTTCTTTAATATTCCGGATTCTTTAATATTCTGTCAGATATATATTTGCATGTATTTTCTTCCATTCTGCGGGTTATCTTTCCATTTTCCCAAGTGGACTTAAAGCACAAAAGTTTTTAGTTTTGATGAAATTCAACTTATCTACCTTTTCTTCTGTTGCTTATGCTTTCTGTGACATAGCTAAGAAACCGTAGTGTAAGTCAAGGTATGAAGAAGATGCCTATGTTTTCCTCTAAGAGTTCCTTAACATTAGCCTTTACACTGAGGTCTCTGATCCATTGTGAGATAAATTTGTAAATGGTTTGGATCAAAGAAGTAAGGGCTATGGCAACCACCCCACTGGAGTGCTTCAAAAAGGAGGAGGGAGGCCGGTGTATAGTCTTGGAATGGAGGCCCCCAGCCCTAGAAGGACCTCTGAGGCCTCAGGGCAGCTGGTCAGGGACCTTGGAGCCTCAGGCCCTTAGGCCTCCTTACAGACATGCCAACCTGTTCTGTCAAAGCACAGACATGCTTACACTCTCACACCCATGGTCAAACACGTGCTCACACACACCACACACACACACACACACACACACACACGGGTGCTCTTACACCGCCACACTAGGGACATGTGCTCATAGACCCACACATGCTCACATGTGGTTACATGTCCTTGACTGGCCTTGCACTGAGGCCTCAGAGGTCCTACTAGGACTGGGGGCCTCCATTCCAAGACTGAGCCTCCAGAAATCAGGGAGGGGGAGTGTTATATGCTGAGTTGTGTCCCCCTCCACCCATATGTTGAGGTTGTAACACCCAGCACCATGCGCTCACTCTCACCCCCACTCATAGTTGTGCACACCCTTGCTCACACATTATCTCCAAGACCTGTACAGTTTAAACTCATGAACAGTAGACTCATAATTGAAAAGTCACCTCCCAGCCTTGGAACCAGTAAGCCAAGTGACATGTGACCCCTCTCCGTCTTCCATTTTGAGCTTCCATTTTCCTTCCAGGAAAAGCAACAAGGACACCAACCCCTTCTTGGCTCCCCAGGGGACTTTGAAGCAGCTACTCCTGCACACACTGGCCCACGGGGGGAGGGTGGACACACAGCTTCTCCCAGAGCCCGTCTGGGCTCAGGGGTGAGGCGGCAGAGGCCAAGCCTTCCTTCCACATCAGAATCTCCCTGGGCTTTACCAGGCTGCCAGATTTTCAGGAACAAACAAGAATTAATCAGGACTAGTGGGGGAGGTATGTGATGCTCCTTCTTCACTTTCACCTTTTCCCTTTTTTCTCACTGTGGCATGTCTAGACCACACACTGCTGAGTGGACACCCCACCTGCTGTGGGTGCTGGCCAGTTCCTCATGCATTGGGCAGCTACTGTGCCGTTGGACCTAAGGGAGAGTTGCTTTCCTGTCCGCGGTGGGCCTGTACCAGAGGGCTCTGAGGCTGGGTGAGGGGATGAAGTGCAACCTACAAAAAAGGCTGCCAGAGCTGAGAGCCTCCAAAGAATGGCGCTCACCCTGCCAGTGGGCCAGGAGAGCCTCCCGGGATGGATGACACTTGAGCTGGCCTTGAAGAATGATCGGTAGTTAGCCTGGATGGATTAGGAAGAAAGAGCATCCCAGATCAGCTCATGAAAGCTGGAGATAAAGAAAAACACCTGTGGGGTGGGGTTCAGCCCCTATGGAGTAAGGCAGGGCGGGGGCAAGGTGGGGGTGAAGGAGATGAGAAGAAGGCACTCACACGAGAGACAGGAGGGATGAGATAGGGTTCAAGTGGGCATGACACAGAAGGCACATTTTCAGGAAGGCCCCTTGGGCCATGTGGGAGTGTGGGCGTGGGGGAGACAGGGGAGTGGTGGAAGACTTCGAGTAAGGCAGAGGAGTGGCAGCTCAGATAGGGCACGCAATGGTGATGGTGAGTGGGGGTCAGAGGTTTCTACACAACAGGTGACGGGTGCTCTATCTGGGGGCAAGTGACTCTGTTGTCAGGACAGGAAGGCCCAGGTTGGGGTGGGGTGGGTGACTTCAGTGGGTGACCCAGATCCCCTCCCCTCTCGCCTCTCCTGCTCCTTTGGGTCGGCACTAATGTCTGAGGTGAGCCAGTGAACGGACTCTGCTTTCCCCTCAGGCTTCCTGGAGAAGAATCGAGACACGCTGGGTTCAGATATCCTCACCCTGCTTCACGCCTCCAAAAACAAGTTCCTGCAGGAGATATTCAAGCTAGAGTCAGGGGAGACCAAATTGGGCATGGGGACCGTCTTCAAGGCAAAGACTGGGGGCCTGCTCTTCAAGGTGGGTACCCAATGAGTGGCCCTTCCAGCATGTCCCAGTCTCCCAGCTCTCAGGCCCAGGGGTCAGACCAGCATGCATGAGAAAGACTCCATGCCGGGTCTGGGCACAGCGAGTGCAGATGGGTCAGGTGATGCTGTGGCCACGGGGCAGTGGCGAGGGGACAGGTGCGCGTGAACACACCTGCTGGTAAGTGTGGTGGTGTTGCCAGAGCATGTCTGCTTTTGTTAATATCATTGCTATGTTTCTCCATCTGTGTGTGCTATGAGGTATGCCTTTTTGTGTGTGTAGTATGTGTTTGTGTTTTATGTCTGTTAAGTATGTGATTTGTGGTGAGTGTGGTATGGCAGTGGCAGCACTAAAGGCTGCTGGGGGCACAGATCCCCCGGGGCTCTTCAGGGCACCTAGTGTTTCCTACCCACTGCCCACTGCCCATTGCCCACTGCCGTCACCCATTAACTGTGACTATTCCAAAAAAGCCTCACAGATCCCTTAGTGAGGACCGTCTCACCTTAGATTGGGGCAATGAATCTAGCCGAGTGACTGCGGAATTTCAAGAACAGGCAGTGGGAGTGAGTGTGGGGGCATCCTACCCCTGGGTGGGAATCTAGCCCTGGCCACACTGAGGTGCCCTGACCTCCCATCATACTCCCTCCACCCCTGTGGAGCATCAGAGGCCTCCGTGCCCAGGACCCACATGCAGAGCAGGCCCAGGGAGGCACCAAGGAGCCGTGAGGCTGTGCACAAAGTACCCAGGTCTGAAACTGGGTGGGACCAGGCTAAAACTGGATTGGGACCAGAGCCAGGGGCATGTCCCAGGTGATTCAGAACAAGCTGACAGTGCAGGGAAATGCACATTCTTTTACAAACCAGGACAAGGGAATTGTTGTTATAAAATACCAGTGATTGCATCCTCTCCTCAGGGCTGAAAGGGTGCAGACAGGCCAAGGATGCAATTTGACAGATACCGTTGCTCAGGTATATTTGACCTTGGAAAGGTTAGGTCACGAAACCCCCGCCCCAGATCAGCATTGCACAGAGGGCAGCCTGCTCATGGGCAGGCGGGGCTTTCGTTTCCCTCTGGCTTGTGTAATTTTGATAAATCTATTTTTAAAATATAGTACTAATAATGTACTGCATACATTTATTGCAATTCTTACAATATATAGTATGAAACATTTTTAACTATATGAAACCTGTGCAAAAACTGAAAACATAGAAGAATGTGGTAAAAGTGAATGCTGATAACTTTTGACTTTTTTTTTCACCATGAGGTGTCATCTTCTACATCCCACTTGGGAGAGCCCATCCCCAGAGAGAAGTCTTAGCCCCATCTTACTCACCTCTGGGCCCCACTGTCCTGCTGGGGACCTGTACACAGAACATACTTGGGGCTCCTGGGATGGATGAAAGAATGGGCGATTCAGTGAATGCAGCCTGTCTGCCTGCAGGACCTTGGCAGTATCCCCCCATGCTGTGGGTTAGCTGTGCCCTGAGTCATGCTCCCCAGCACCCCGTTGTACCCTGTGCTTCTGCCCACAGTCTGCAGACTCCGGCAAGCGCTCCTCCACCTTGGCAACCCAATTCAAGCAGTCTCTGGACCAGCTGATGAAAATCCTAACCAACTGCCAGCCCTATTTCATCCGCTGCATCAAACCCAATGAGTACAAGAAGCCGCTGGTAATAGGGGCAGGACTGGGCACACACGGGGAGGGTGTGGGCATCTAGGGTCCTGCCACTGCTCCCTTCACCAGAGCCTGGCCGGCATTACAGCTCCATTTATAGGTGGGGACACTGAGGTGACAGTCTTAGCTAGTCTGGTGTCAGCAACCAGCAGGTTCTAGATCATGATTCTCTGAGCCCTTCTTCTTATCTGTGAAGTCAGACTCTGGCCTGACTGCAGCGGGCTGCAAGTATACAATAGGGTATTTGCAGCACATCTACAAGTGTAAGTCCCGTACTTTTAGAGGCTGAAGCCAAGGCCTAGTTACCAAGACCTGAGGCCAAGCAGCCTTTGGAGAGCAGCTGTATGTGTGTGTATGGAGGGCCCTACAGCCTGCATGGACATCTCTGAGCATAAGTTCGGGAATCCCGCCCAGAGGCTGCAAATACAGAAGTACCGAAACTGGTAGATGCCACCTGAATATCAACTGACTCAAAAAAAAAAAAAAAATCTTATAAGGGAAAAAATTTTACATTAAATGAAGTGCCTTCTTGGAAAAAAAAACCAAAAAACTAAATTATATGAAATTGAGGCAGTCACAGGAAATCCAGAATGTCTTCCTTGTAGAACAAATACAGGGATATTAGACAACAGCTGTGCTTCCAGGGACCCTCTGCTCAGCTGCCTCCCCACCTTAGGAGCTGCAGGACAAGTGGGTGGGGCCTGAGGTCAAGGCTCAAGTGCCCCTAGTGGCTGCTGCGTCCATGGAGGGCCAGCCCAGGCCAAGGGCCAAGTAGACTCAGGGTTTGAACCCTGGCTCGGTTACTTAGAAGTGTGATCCTGACCCTCAGGATCACCATTAAATAGGAGCCAAGTACCCCACCACATAAGATTGTTGTAAAGATTAAATGAGAAACACCAGGCCCATAAGAAATACTCCATAAATGGGAAACTAATCTCTATATGACCCTGGGCCCCAGAACTTGCTGCCTCTGTTGTCCTCAGTATTTCCAGGCAGGTAACTTTCTGCCAGCGGACTTGCCAGGTAGAAGGGCTGCCATGATCTGAGGCCCCTGGCTTGGCGGCTGCAGTGGAAGAGGGCTCTCTAGAGGCCAAGCTAGGCAGAATCTTGGGCCCTGACTGGATCCCACATCTGGGTGCAAAGCCTTACACCCAAATTCCTCTCTGCTGGCCATGTCCATCTCTGGGTAGGGAGACACTGAGTTGGCTAGAACATTACCTGGCTTTAAATAGGAAAAGAATTTCTTCTTCCTGGAGGGTGTGGGAGGCCCCCTGGTGCCAAGACTGCTCAACAGAGGCAAGGTGGGGAAGAGGCAATGTCCTTTTGGATCATTGTTTTGGGGTGCTTGAAAACATTTGAGGCACTGCATAACTTTTATATTCATAGCACTTTGTATATCCTGAGCATTTAGTGTTCTTGTGAGATGTTGCTGTTTCTATGTGGTGGACTTTCATCTGTTTGGAAACTCTTTAAGGACTTTTTAGCATCATCAACCAAGCAACTCTCTTCAAAATAGAATTGTATATAGATGTGGTTCATTCATACCACAGAGCACAACATTGTCACAAGAAAGGGTGAAATGCAACCATTTTCACAAAATGGGGGGTGTTTGATAAAATCACATTCAGCAAAGCGAATCAGAACAATAAAAGCAAGTGTTGGACATTCATTTAGCACCCAATTCAACAACACTTTGAGAAAAACCACTGGACATGGAGAAATGCCCCCCGGGCTCTGAGGCTAAGCAGAAGAAGGGAGAGGAAGGGACAAGGGAACAGAGGGAACGGTGGTGGCGCACAAGAAGGAATGGTTTTTTAAAAACACCTTCAAGAAAAAACATGAGTTCTGTGAGAGTTGTCCCAAATCCCAAATCTTGAGAGAGAAAAAAATACACGCGCTAAGAAAGCCATGACAAGGAGTAGTTTCCACAGCAAGTCTGGAGAAAGGAACGACTCACACTTCAGTGAAAACATTTTTTTTTTTATGGTTAGTATATTTTATTTTATATAATTCTTACATCATTTTTCATTTTTGCACAATGTATGCATTTTCATTTTGGTTATATTCCCCATACAATTCCCACTCTCCCTTTTTTGACCCTAATCCCTCCTCTCCTCCCCCCTCCCCTACCGTAGTGTGTCTCTGGTTTACAGTTGCTTGATGATTTTGACTTTTACTTTATTATAATTAGTCTTTTTCCTGGTCCCTTATTTAGGTTTTCTAAGTTCCTGCTGTGAGTGAGACCATCTGGTATTTTTCTTTTTCTTTCTGGCTTATTTTGCTGAGCATGATCCCTTCCAGCTCCATCCATGTTGCTGCAAAGTGCATGAGTTTATCTTTTTTGATTGCTGAGTAATATTCCATGGTATATATGTACCACATCTTCTTGATCCAGTCATCTATTTTTGGGCATTTGGGTTGTTTCCAAAGCTTAGCTATTGTAAACAGTGCTGCTATAAACATAGGGGTGCAGGTGTTCTTTGGAATTAATGTTCCTGTGTCCTTTGGGTAAATACCTAGGAGTGGAGTTGCTGGATCATATGGAAGCTCTATCTTTAGTAGGTTGAGGAATCTCCACACAGCTCTCCATAGTGGTTGGACCAGTTTATGTGGATGCATAGGTCTCACACCAAGAAATCCCAGTTCAGCAAGTCTGTGATATGGTCTGGGGAGCAGGAATTTTTTTTTTCCATATTGCATAGACATTTTTTTTCTGATTTTTAATTTTTTTAATTTTATATATTTTTTACATCATTTTTCATTTTTGCACAATGTATGTATTTCCATTTTGGTTATATCCTCATATAATTCCACCCCCCTTATTTTGACCCTAATCCCTCCTCTCCCCCCCCCCCCGCCCCAGAGGTGTGTCTCTGGTCTACAGTTGCTTGTTAATTTTGATTTTTTCTTTATTGTAATTAGTCTTTTTCCTGGTCCCTTATTTAGGTTTTCTAAATTCCCGCTATGAGTGAGACCATGAGAGATTTTTATTTTTCTTTCTGGCTTATTTCGCTGAGCATGATCCCTTCCAGCGCCATCCATGTTGCTGCAAATGGCATGAGTTTATCTTTTTTGATGGCTGAGTAATATTCCACTGTGTCTATGCACCACATCTTCTTGAAATAGATGACTGGATCAAGAAGACGTAGTAAAAACATGTCTGAACCAGAATTTACGACGCCAGGCCTCTGGGGCGGGGGGAGGCCGGGCAGCCGCCCTGGCCGCGGGAGCTCCCGGCCTCAGCCCGCCTCTCCCCACAGCTCTTCGACCGCGAGCTGTGCCGGCAGCAGCTGCGCTACTCCGGCATGATGGAGACGGTGCGCATCCGCCAGTCGGGCTTCCCGGTGCGCTACACCTTCGAGGAGTTCTCGCACCGCTTCGGCTTCCTGCTGCCCGGCGTCCAGCGCAGGCAGGTGCGCGCCCGGCCGCCCAGGGGCCCCTCGATGCCTGTGCACGGGCCCGGCCCGGCCCCAAGAGGGGCCTGCCGCGACCTTCCGATGCCCAGGGGCCCTTGAGACGACGCCCGCACCCCCATCTCCTGCGCCCCACCCCCACCCCCGCCTCTCGGGGGGACTCCCGGGGACTCGGCCACGGCGCCGGGCTGGGTGGGACCTTTCTCAGAGGCACCTGTGGCTGGAACCCAGGCCAGGGAGATGCTGTCTGGCTAACGCGCTCTCTGGGGGCAGCAAGTCCTTCCTCTTTCTCCTCCCACACTCGGCCGCCCTGAGGTTTCGTCCGCCCAAGTGTCTAACCACCGCTCGGAGGCCCCAGACCTCGAGAGAGAGGTGGCCCTTAGCCAGGGTTGGCCTCCCCTTAGCCCCCCTTTGACCTGAGTTGCCCTGTGCCGTCTTGACCCAGCATCCTGGCGGGGACCCTGGAGGAGGAGGGAACCTCAGGTCTGTGGGAAACCCAGAGGAGGCGCCCTCAGCCTCCAGCCTGGGGCCCCTGCTCCTCCAAGCGGCTCCTGTTTCTCCTTAACAGCTGCGGGACAAGTTCCGCCAGATGAGCCTGCGCATCGCTGAAATGTGGCTGAAGACAGACAAAAACTGGAAAATGGGAAAGACTAAAATTTTCCTGAAGGTGAGACCCCAAGACCAGTCTGCTGCCTGCAGAGCCCTGGAGGCCGGTCCTGCCAATTGGTGGCCACCCTGAGCCATCCATGCTGGGCCCTGCCCTCACTGCAGCTCACCCCCGCCCCACGCACTCCTGTTGCAGAAGAACATGCGAGGTGGGAGGGGCAAGGGGAACATGCCCAGCCTATGGAAGTCCAGGGGCTTCCCAGACAGGGTGTCCAGGGCAAGGCCTGAGGGCGAGGAAGGGCTGTCTCTAAGCCACCAGGTAGCAGCTGGAAGTTCAGGGCAGCTCCAGTTGCACCTGAGAGCAGGCCTCTACCTGCGGGTGCCACGGCCCCCGGAGGTGGCGTCGTCTCACCTAGGGAAGTTCTGCTCCTTCACAAGCAGGAGAACCTGAGCGGCAGGAATCAGTGCTGACGCCCCCTCGCCTCCCACAAGCTCTGGTCTTTGTACAGGCAACACTATCACCCACCTTCCACCTCCCTCTGCACCCCTCAGCACCCCTCAGCTAATAGGGGGGTCTGGGTCACACAGAGGTGCCCTTGTGACCTTCAGACCTTTCCAGGATTGCCAGTGGGTTCAAAGAGCCGCTGTTAGGGTGACCTCCAAGTCACCTAGCCTTGTAAACCTGGGCGTCTGAGCAAAATGAGAGGAGGGGAAGAAAGGAAGATCAGGGCCAGCCCACCCAAGTGCCCCACACTGTCCACACGATGCTGAGCCCTCCATTCTCCCCTCTTTCCCCCAAAGAGCCTTCCCACATGTCTCATCTGTCTTCAGAGCAACCTCCTAGCACTAGCTCTTCAGTCCGTCCCTCTGTCCATCCATCCATGCATTCGTCAGGCTGTGCCAGGTCTCACAGCTGAGATAGGAAGGAAGAAGTGGAGGGACTTCAGATTCTTTTGAGAGAAGTGAGACTGGAAGCCGGTAGACGTCTGGGAAGTCCAGCACGTCCCAGGAACTAGAGGGAAGAAGGTAGAAGTATAGAGGGCAGGATGAGTGTGGGTGGGTGCTTGAGGCAGGCTGCTCTTCAAGGCCACCGTCGGGTCTCGCCCACCTCTGTTCCCGGAGGCCTCCTAGGCATATGAAGAGGCTCGATGGTCACTTGGTGCAAGACTAATGGAAGCAGGAAGGGCCCCGAGCCCCCAGGCTCTCCCCAGCACTCACCAAAGGGCAGTGCTGCTCTGTTCTGGAAGTGCGAGCCGTCTTGCACGGGCCAAGAGGGCAGGCCCAGGGCACACAGGCCCAGGAAGGACCAGAGCAGGCGAGGCAGTGTCCTGAATGGCCACTGCTCATCATCGTGCACTTTGAGTCCCACTCAGAGGCTGAGGGAAACAAGCGTGAGTCTGTAGCAGGTTGTATGTACCTTCCAGGTGCATTTTGGCAAATAAAACACAACTTCAGGGAAATGTCCCCCCTCTTGTGCCTCTTACCCAGAGCGGAAGTGAAACTGGCCAGGTTGAACCAACAGGAAAGCAGAACTTAAGAGGGAAGTGCCTTCCCTGAGGCTGGGAGATGTGTCGGGGCAGCGTGTATCTCTGAGTCACATACACCAGGGTCAATTTGAAGGCCCCTTCCCCCACTTGCCCAGACACGTGGGAAAAGTCTGATAGACACTGGCTGGGAGACAGCCCAGGCTCCGGGATGTGGAGTGGTGGGAGGCGACTGCATGGTGAGCTCTCTCTGCCCCAGGACAACGAGGACACGCTGCTGGAGATTCAGAGGAGCCAGGCCCTGGACCAGGCAGCCATCAACATCCAGAGAGTCCTGAGGGGCTACAAATACAGGTGCCTGCCCTGTCCCAAGCCCCTCCCAGCCCACATGCCTGCTTGTCCTGTAGCCTCAGGGATTGACTTTTTCCCAGTCAGCATAATTCTCTGGTGATTTATGCACATTCTCACCTGCATCACTATTTTGTTCCTTTTTCTTGCTGAGTAGCGTTCCATAGTGTGGATGGAATGCGCCACAAGTTGTTTAATCGCTCACGAGTTAGAGGCCATCTAGGCTGTTTTCAGTGTAGGCTCTTTGCCATAAAGCACTTTGAACATTTGTGTGTGGGTTGTGTGAACATAGCTGTCATTTCTCCAGAATAAATGCCCAGGAGTGCAATGGTTAGGACATGGAATACTTACATTTTCATGGAAAGGTATTTTCAGAGTGGCTTTACCATCTTACATTCTTACTAGCAGTGCAGAAGCCAAGGGGCTTGTCGGCATTTCCTCCAGCATTTCATGTTCTCCCAATTTTTTCATTTTAGTCATTTTGACAGGTGTATAATGGTATCTTTTCATGTGCTTGTTTGTCACCCGTGTATATCCTCTTTTGTAAAATGTCTTCGCCTGTTGTTTGCCTATTTTTTAATTAGAATCCTTGCTGAATTTTGAGCTTTCTTTAAATATTCTAAAATATGAGTCCCTTGTTGGATATGTGGTTTGTAAATATCTTCTCCCAGTCTATAATTGATCATTTTGACCTCTTCAGAGGGTCTTTACAGAGAGCAAACGTCTTTAATCTTGATGAATTACAATTTTATAAATTACACTTTTGATTTTAAGTCTAAGAATTTTAAACCCAAGGATTTTCTCTTATTTACATGTTATAATTAGGTCCATAATCCATTTTCATTTTGAGTTCATTTTTATATAAAGTGTAAGACAGGTCAAGCTTATTTTAAAACCTTTTCCCTGTGAATGTTGCTTCAGCATCATTCATTGGAAAGTCTGTGCTTTCTTCAATGAGCCTTTGCCAAAAATAAGTTAGGTGTATCTGTGGATCTATTTATGCATTCTATATTCTTTACCACTGATCTGTGTGTCCTCTGTTCCAGTGATCTGTGTGCCTGTCCATCTGCCAATGCAACACCACTGTCTTGTTGATTGTAGTTACAGAATGTCTTGAAGCTGTGTGGACATTCCTCCTACCTTTTCCTTTTTCAAAATTGTTTTAATTCTTCTTGGTCCTTGGCCTTTCCAATGTGTTTTAAGAATAATTTTGTCTATAGCTACAAAACTTTTTTGCTAGGATTTTGATAGGAATTTTGTCATATATGAATTTGAGGAGAATTGACTTCTCTACCATTGGAGTCTTCCACTTCATAAATTCCATTTATTTAGATTTCCTTTGATTTCTTTCATCAAGGCTTTATAGTTTTCATTATCCAAGTTCTGTACATGTTGGATTTATACCTAGATTGGTTTGTTAGCTTTTTTTGAAAGGTTGTAAAAAGTACTGTATTTTTATTTTTGGCATTGACATTCATTGCCAAAGAATGTCACAAAGAATGTCATTAGTACACAAAGATATGATTGATTTGTATATGTTGACTTTGTACCCAAGGCCTTGCTGAACTCACTTGCTATAAATTTCTTAGAATTTCCCATGTAGGGGCCTCCCCGGTGGTGCGGCGGGTTGAGCGCATCACTGCGGGGCTGTCCGCAGCCTCTGCAGCATGAGTTCGATCCCCGGCTGACCAGGGAGAAACCCACATGGCACGGCAGACCTCTCCTGTCTCACCTGCTGCTCCCCTCAGCAGTGTATTTTGTCAGTCTGCCTGTTCTGTTCCCCGCTCTGTCTCTGGTGAATCCTCTCACCCTCCGGTGCCTCTCACCTGTATCCCAGCTCTTGTAGAAAAATAAATAAATCTTAAAAAAAAAAAAAGACTTTCCTATGTAGATAATCATACATATAAATTAGGGACAGTTTAATTCTGTCTGCAATTAAGATCACTTTTATTTCTTTCTTTCCCATCTGTATGTTTTTTATTTTCTTTCCCTGTCCATAGCACTGGCATCTTGGTGAACAATGGACCACGTATATGATGGTGTTCCCAGTAGGCTGTATCATATAGCCTAGGTGTGTAAAAGGCTATACCACTTGGGTTGGGTAATAACACTCTGTGTCATCTGCACAACAGCAAAATTGACTAACAATGTATTTTTCAGAATGTATCCCTGTCATTAAGTGATGCATGACTTTATTATGAATGGTGAAAAGAGCCATTTTTGCTTTGTTCCATATTTTAGGAAAAAGCTTTCAGTTTTTAACCATTATGCATAATGATGGCTACAGGTTTTATAGACATTCTTTCTCAAGTTGAGGAAGTTTCCTATATTCCTAGTTTTCTGGGAGTTTTAATTATAAATGGGTGTTGGATCTTGTTCAAAAAAACTTTTTCCACCAGTTAATATGATTATGAGATTTTTCTTCTTTAGCCTATAACATGATGGATTATGTTGATTGAGTTTTTGAATATTGAACCAGCCTTGCATCCCTAGGGTAAATCCCACTTGGTCATCATGTATAATTCTTTTTATATATTGCTGGATGCTACTTGCTAGTATTTTGTAAAAATTTTTGCATCTATATTCATGAGATGTGATTTTCTTCTTTTTGTTTCTCTGTCTAGTTTGGGTATCAGAAAAATGCTGGCTTCATAAAATGAATTATGAAGTGTTTTCATCTGTTCTGGAAGAGATTGCATAGAATTCATGTTTGAATTTTTAAATGTTTGGTAGAAATCTCCAAGAGAACCATCTGGGCCTGGAGACTTCTATACAGTGATATTTTAATTTATAAATACCTTAATAGAAATATCTATTCATTTTGGGTTGTGGAAATTTGTGATTTTTGAGGAATTGGTCCATTTCATCTGAGTTGTCAAATTTATATGTGTAGAATTGTTCCTAGAATTCCATTATCATTTGGATGTCTCCAGCATCTGTAGTGATATCCCCTGTGTCATTCCTGACATCAGAAATTTGTGTCTTTTTTCTTTGTCAGTTTTGCTAAATGTTTGTCAATATCATTTATTTTTTAAAAAAAATCAGCTTTTAGTTTCATTGACTTTTTTTTTAACTGTTTCAATTGCATTGGTTTCTCCTCTTTTTTTATTATTTCCTTCCTTTTCCAACTTCAGATATATTTTACTCTTCTTTTTCTGGATGCTTGAGGTAGGAACTTAGATGATTAAGTCAAATTCTTTCTTCTATTCTAAAGTAAAATGCTATAAATCTCCTCTCGGCACTGCTTTAACTCTGTCTCTTATTTTGATATATTGTATACATTTTTATTCCGTTCATTTTTCATATCTTCCTTTGAGACTTCCTCACTGGTCCATAGATTATTTTGGACATATGTTGTTTAGTTTCCAAGTCTTTGGAGACTTTTCTGTTACCTACCTGTTATTGGTTTCCCATTTCATTCCATTGTAGTCAGAGACATTCTGTGTGAATTAAAATTCTTTTAAATAGGGTGATGTTTCTTTAATGGTTGAGAATATGTAATATCGTGTTGTAAGGGTACTTGAAATGAACAAATATTCTGCTATTGTTGGAAGGAGTGCTCTAAAAATGTCAATTGGGTCCTATTGGTTGAATTCTATATTCTTGCTGATTTTTGTCTAGTTGTTCTAGCATTTATTGAGGGGGTAAGGTTTGAAGTATCCAACTATAAGTATATATTTGCTTATTGTTCATTTCATTTCTATCAGTTTTTGTTTCACATATTTTTCAACTCCGGTGCGTAAAACTTCAGGGTGCACTTCTCAGTGGATTTACCCTCTTATCATCACAAAATGTCCCTCTCTGGTTATTTTCTTTGCTCTAAAGTCTACTTGATCTGATATTAATATAGCCAACCCTGTTTTATTTTGGTAATTCTTTACATGATATACATTTTCCATCCATTTACTTTCAACATATCCCATCTCACCATATTTTAAGTGAGCTTCTTATAGACAGTTATGCTTTTTAATCTAGTCTGCCAGGACTAAAAAGTTGGAAACAGGTTTTATCCCTTCATAGATCTTTGGGAGGAATGGGGAAAATTTTTCTTACTACTCTAAAGGCTGGAATGTCAAAACCTGAGTATTAGCAGTAGATTTTTAGATCCCCAACGTACCTGTCTTCAGTCCATAAAGATTTCTTTCTTTTTTAAAAAAAAAGATTATTTATTTATTTATACAAGCACTGGGTACAGTCAGAAGCATGGGAGGGTGAGAGAATTCACCAGAACCAGAGCGGGCAACAGAACAGGCAGACTGACGAAATACACTGCTGAGGGGAGCAGCGGGCGCAGCAGGAGAGGTCTGCCACGCCTTTTGGGACCCTCGCCAGCAGCCAGGGATCGAACCGGTGCTGCAGAGGCTGCGGGCAGATTTGCAGCCCAGTGCTCAACCACTGCACCACCAGGGGAGGCCCCATAAAGATTTCTAAAACTGAAATACCCTATGTATTCATCCTTCCTGATGTTTCATTATCACTCTTCCCTTCAAAATCAGTTTGTCCCCCAAAGGTTTTACACACCTCTGACTTGCACCTCCCTTTTAGGAAGGACTACCTGAGGCAGAGGCAGGCAGCCCTGGCCCTCCAGGCCTGGTGGAGAGGCTACTACCACAGGCGGAACTTCAAGATGGTAAGAGAGCTCACTTGAGACACTGCACCTGCAGGAGCAGTGGATGCCTGTCCTCCAAAGAACAGAGGTGTGGATTTGTTGTTATGAGTGTGGGCGCTGGAGCTGGGAGCAGAACTCTAGAAGGCAAGCCCCAGGGGCCAGACCCCAGCAACGTGCACACCGTCTTCTCAGGGCACCTCATTTGAGAGCTTTGGAGTTCCTCAGCGGCATTTGGAGTAGCTCCAGAGTTAGACTGAGGTGCCCTGCTCCAAAAATAGATAATGGCTGTCTTCTCCCAATTGGCAGGCAACAAAATAAGTCAATGGATTTATTCTTCTATGTTAAGCCCTTCTTCCTAACATTCTTTTACCACAGGCAATGCTGCTGAGCAGTTTCTCAATAAAGGAAGTGAAGCAGCCTTACCCTTGCCCTGTGGGGCCCAACTGACCGCTGGCCTTTATCACAGCCTCCGGGTCACATGGGCAGGAGTGACTCCAAGCCCATCCATGCTGATGGGATGGAAAGCTGCTTGGGGCCCCCTGGTTTGTGTGTATCATTTTATTTCTGATTAAGCCAACCCTCTACATCAAGGAACTGAGGTGACATAAAGAGATTGATTAGTTTTCCCAAAAAGATGCAGTTAGTAAGCAGTAGAATAGAGTTTGGATGCAGATCTGTGCGGCTTCCTAACCAGTGATGGAGCCTGACCCCACACCGGCACCAGCATCCTGTGCTGTTGTCTGACAAGCCAATTAGACTCATCCAGAGGCTTCAGGGCCTGCCATGGCTGAGACATCCACCGTACAAAAGTGTTTGCTCGTCAGTTTACCATTTCATCTTTGTTTCAAAGATCCCTGAAATATTTGCTTGACAGAGCTGAGCACAGGCCACCAACCAGGTATGCCAGCTCCTGACAAGTTAGCTGGCCTTGGCTGGCAGGTGTGAAAAGCAAGGCCTCTGGAATCCCATCACCCATTTCACATCCAAACCAAATCTGTGTCCCTGGCCCTGGGGAGGTTGCTTTTTTGTTTATGCCATGTAACAAATGTGTATTTAGCACTTATTTGCATGCTAGGCTCTGTCCTAAGTGCTGTACAGGTAATAACCCAATATGCTTGTGCTGGGTGCATAAAATTTTAGTACCAGACCCTTTGCTAAAAAACAGATAACTATAAGCTGAGTTATGTGATCTCCTGGGGAGTACGACATGCCTCTGGCTCTCTGGCTCTCTGGCTCTCTGCCTCCCCTTACCCCCACCCTGCACCGGGGCAGGCCTGCTCTGTGCTCTGTGCCTGTCACCTCCCAGTGAGTACATTTTGCTCTTGCTCCACAGATCCTCTTAGGTTTTCAGCGTCTTCAGGCCATTGCCCGGAGTCACCTGCTGGCCAAGCAGTACCAGGTCATGCGGCAGAAAATGGTTCACCTGCAGGCCCTGTGCAGGGGCTACCTGGTGCGCCAACAAGTTCAGGCCAAAAGGAGGGCACTGGTGGTGATCCAAGCACACACCAGGGGCATGGCTGCCCGGCAGAACTTCCAGCGGCAGAAAGCTAATGTAGGTGGTTACTGCTGTCTTGGGCAGGTGGGGACTGGCTGGGGCCCATGGGAGAAGGACAAGCAGGAAGAGTGAGCAGCAATATGAAATCCCACTAGACATTCCTTTCCCTCCCTGTCCACAGTTATTGCTACAGCAGACCAACATGCCGCTTCGGTCCTCACGTGGGAGCTCCCAGGTGTAGCAGAGGGATCTGTCCCTTCAGCAGGACAGACCTGGACCTGGAACTTGGAAATCAAGCTCTGGGTCTCCTCTCTTTAGCCTCAGGGACAATTTCTCAGCAAGGCCAGACAGTCCCATAGAAGGCAGAGGAAACCAGGGCCAGATGAACAATGGAAGGGCACAGTTCCATGGAGACAAAAGATGCCTGGTCATGAACTGTGGCAATGACAGCTCAAAGACAGATAAATATCAGCCTTCTGGATGAGCAAGGCTGAAGAGCAGGGAGCAGGGAACCTGTACCCGGATACATATCCCTGCAATTTGAAATTTCATCCTTGCACGAAGTTAAGTCCTTCAGGGAACACATAAGACACAACCCCATTCCTCAAAACAGCCTCATTTGGGAACTAAGATAAAGGAAAGGGACAAGGATGATGTTTACCTCCGGTCCATAGAGGAAAATTGGGTCCGCTGAGCAAATGAGTAGCACATGAGCTAGGGCAAGAAGGTAAGAGGCCCTCAGCTACAGCAGCATGCTCCGGGGCCCGCGTGACCCCAGCAGGCCAGGCTCACCGTGCACCAGTTAGCACAGGTCCAGGAACCACTCCTGGCAGAGTCCTGGTGCCCCTCAGAGTGAGGGACAGGGTAAGGCTGAGCAGTGGTTTCGCAGTTCTGGAGTTCTTGGGGGTTCAAGGTGGTACCTCAGGGCCTGTGTGGTCCCTCTCTGGACCTCTGATTCTCTACTGGGAAATGAAAAGCCCAGGCAGGTTGATCTCCAATCACAAGCTATTAAAATCTGGGATTTTCAAGGAAAATTTATTGATTTGGACAAATGGCAGGAGGACATATATTTGGCTTCTGTGAGGGGCCTGCCCCAGCTGGGCCTGTGGGTCACTTTTGCCCTTTGGGGTATGTGTGCAGGGGCCACTGGTCATCTCAGCCAAGGAGCCAAAAAGCCAAAGTTCCCCACCCAGAAAGCGCAAATCAATCTACGACACCATCAACGACACGGAGATGGTGGAGAAAGTGTTCGGCTTCCTCCCTTCCATGATGGGTGGGCAGGAGGGCCAGACCTCACCACCGACCTTCAAGGTAAGACAGGCTCTGTCCTTCAAGCTTCTAAAGTTTGGGGGATGGGAGAGTCCGTCCCAGGCCCTGACCTCAGTCAATCCCCGTGCTCACTGAGAAGCCAGGTGGGCATGCAAAGAAAAGAGGAGCATGGATTTTCTGTGATTAAGCTCTTTCAAATTAAGGTTTCTTGCCTAAAAGACTTCCCGGACCCTTTAATATGGGCTTCCAGTTACACAGCATTTTCCATTTGAGAGGAGTCTCACAGAGCACCTTAGGGGGAGTTTGCTGCTTGCAGAATGTGACCTGGGGCCTGATATGGAGAACTTAGGAGCTGGCAGGAGGAAGTGTTATCTGAGGGGCAGTTCAAAGGGCGGGAGGAAAGGCAAGAGGGGGAAAGGCAGGAGGGGAGAAGCTCCCCAGAACTGTCCTTTTGTTGATTCTTACTACACCCCAGTGGGCATTCCGAGATCCAAAGATCTAGGCACCCTCCCCTAACCCCCAAATGCTCATGCCTCCACACACCCCTGCAAACACACCCTCTGTGCAGGAGAGCTAATTGGGATCACCTTCTTAACCTTCTGAACAAAAGCTAGCAAGTGGGCGGGGGCAGGGGATGTCTGAAGAGTCTGTGTGTGCAGGCCGGGGGCCTGAGAGCGCACTGTCAAGTGGTTGGTACCTTCACAGCAGCCTTGAGGGGGGAGGGGTCCCACTTAGGGTGTGGTCTCCAGCACAAGGGGAAATAGCTAGGGGCTTCTGCATCTGGTAGATAACCATATAGGCCCTTCTTGGTGCTCCTTGGCCCCCAGAGAGGCACAGCCTCTCCCGGCAGCATCCAGAAAGACAGCTGACCCTTGTCCCTCCATCTGTCTGGTGACCAGGATCTAGAAGCAAAAACCTTGAAGCTGCCCGAGGTTGACCTGGACACGGTCCCCATGATGGAAGAATTTGAGAGCCTGGAGGAGGATGTAGATGGTCTGGCTGAGTACACCTTCCCCAAGTTTGCTGCCACCTACTTCCAGAAGTCGGCCAGCCACACACACATCCGGCAGCCCCTGCGCTATCCGCTGCTCTACCATGAGAACGACGATGACTGCTCGGTACCAGGGGTTCTGTGCTCCCTAGGGGTGCAGGCACCCCCAGATCTGCACTGTGGTTCAGAGGGAATGGGGTGGGGTCACTGTGGTCCCCATGTCCACACAAGCTGCATCCAGCCAGGCTCTCTGTCTCCATTTCCCCAGGCTGCCCTAGCCGTGTGGACCGTCATCCTGAGGTTCATGGGAGACCTTCCAGAGCCAGTACTCTTTGCCAAAAACAACCTGCACAGCAGCTCCAAGACCCGGCAGATCCACAATGCCGTGGGCCAGGACAGGGGTGCCCAGCCTCAGAAGCACAGTGGATCTGCACAGGTGCAGCAGGGGGAGGGCAGACACCCCTCAGGCATCCATCAGGTCCAGGCCCTGGGAAGGCCGGCCCAGAAGGGAAGGGAAGACGTGAAATAAGTTGTCACCCTCTAAACCTGGTCTGCGCCAGGGCGCCCGGGCATTCAGTCTTGGAACACAGTGAGGAACTCATAGGGCAGGCATTCCACCCAGAACTTTTTGAATTATACCCTTGCTAATGGAGCTGGGCCTCCAGGCACTGAATATTGGGCTTGACTTGAACAGGATTCAAATGCCTAAACAATAATAATAACAACAACATGCTGTTTTGACTGACAACCTGCCCTGTGCCAGTCCCTTCTCGTGCCTCAGCTACAGGGTGAGCCAGTCCTACAAGGTAGGGGTTGTTATTTCTTTGAGCTCAAGAACCTGAGAAGTGAAATGACTTGCTCCCAAATCACAGTGAATGTGTTTGATAGAACTGGGCTTTGTCATCCAGTCTGCTGACTTTGCACCCAGTTTTCAACCCGTTTTCTACCCTGCCCTGCTGTTGAAGGTTAATTCACATCCATTTTTAGTCAGACATTCTCCCTAAGACCCCGCTTTCACGGTGAAACCCTAGTGGTACTCTCCAGGAACAGTCTACAGGAATTCCACAGTAGACGTGCACTTGGACCCCCAGCAGCTGAGGGCCAGAGCTGGCCTGAACACCCTGTGTGGGCTCACCCCTGAGGGGTGCTGTGTACTGACTCACTGCAGGGAAGGCTCAGGACACCACAGCTCCAGATTCCGGGGCCAGGAATTACATGGAAGCAGCACGAGCCCCGGCAGTCTGCTCCCAGGCTGTGGGTTCCACAGTGTTTTGCTCTCTATCACTGCCTAACAAATTTCCTCCAAAAATCAGCCACTTGAAATAGCACACATTTATTATCTCAGGCAATCTCTGAGGGTCAGGAGCAACACAGTTGGGCAGCTCTGACCCAAGGCCTCTCCTGGGACCACAATCAAACTCTCAACTGCGCTGCCATGGCCCTCTTCCAGGGACCCCTCACATGGCTGTGGCCACGAGGCCTCACTTCCTCCCATGGGACCTGCCCATATGAGCCTTCTCATATTCCCACACAGAAAACCAGCTGGAAGCTGCCATACATACTGGTCACAGAACTGCCCTCGTGGGCAAGATTGTCAGGGGTAGGGTCACTGGGGGCCACCCTGGAGACCAGCACCAGGGGAGCAAGCCTGGGAAGCTGTCCAGCCACCCTGTACTTCTGGTGGGCGAGCATAGGGAAGAGCGTGACTACCCAGAGCCACATCTCCAGTTGGCCTGGACGTGTTTATTAAACACCCACTGCAGGCCCCACACAGGAGCAGTGAGTCGAGTCAGCCCTGCCTACCCTCACTTGATAGCTAATGTGTTTCATATTTGGCTCCTGTGCAGAAAACCAATGTACCCCAACCAGAAGCTGGTGCCCCACGGGGCCCGGGCTGATCCCCACCTAAGCCCAGACCCACACCGAGCTCTCATTTTAACAACCTCTCATGTCACATCTTAATAAGATGCAACTTCTGCCTAAGGAGACCAACAGATCCTCGTGGCTGGGGCCAAGCCCCTGCTTACCCGGCCTTGTTCTCAGAGCTCCCCCTTTTGCAGTGGGCAGGGTGTATTTCAATTGTTCCACCAAATTTTTACTGTCCTTGGCACCTGGGTTCAGATCTAGCCTTCCCTTAGAAGGCGTTCTGGGCCAGAGGTATAGAAGAGAATCAGAAGGGTCCTGGGCCCCTCCTGGGGCTGGTTACAGACTGAGCACCTACCCTTGCTCATCTCCTCACCCTGCAATCATGTACACATATAATGCGATGAGGTGATCTAAGTATTGCAAAGCTCCACCAAGGCGGGGCACTGCGTGGTGCAGAACCAGAAAATGGCTGGGTCAGATGGACACTTGCCCCCCAGGTGACCGTCGGGTCAGCCTCATGAATGTGTTGCCCGGCTCATCCTCCTTTGGGAACTGTCCCCATCCACAGAGGTCCAGCCACAGAGGGACCAAGTCCATCTCCTCCATGAAGCTGAAGCGGTCCTCCCGGATCACGGGCCAGGTGAGCCCAGGACAAGGAGACCTCACCGCCCACCTACTGAGGGGTTCTGGGTCCTTATTTCCTTCCTGGGCACCCGGTTTTCTCCTTTGCAAATGGGAGCCTCGTGGCTGTCCTGATGCCACCCTTGATCTCAGGTGACCAGCCAGCTGAATATTGGCGAGGAGGCGTTTGAGTCAGATGGTCCCATTGCAGACCGGCCCATGTCCAACCTGGAGAAGCTGCACTTCATTGTGGGCTACGCCATCCTGCGACCCAGCCTCAGGTCAGTCCCACTCCCACCTCACCCGCACCCAGACCTTCAGCCCCTCAACTGTTCTCAGCCTGTGGCTCAGTCTCTTCTTCTGCACCCCATGAGACACCCACTCCCTACCTGCACCCTGCCCCGGAGCAGCAGTACGGGTTTCACCACAGAAGACCTCATAAGTGTCAAGGGTTCTTCTCTGTTTGCCCTGCCTTAAAACCCATGGGTTTTAAGAAAAAGGACTGATTATGAACTGGTGATTCATTTTATAATAAGCTTTCATTAAGCAGTGCCTTGGAAATGAACCAGTTTTGTGTTTGTATGTGTTTTGTTTTAGGGACAATTTGCTTTATAAGTATACAAATTTTAAGAACTGTATCTACTGCTTTCAGGGACAAACTACTACATTTTAGGGGTTTGCATATTTGAAATTATTTTTAATCAAATTTGGGGAGTTGTTGGCCATTATTTCTTCAGATATTTTTCCAACTTCATATCCTCTCTCTCTCTCTCTCTCCCTCACTCTCCCTCCCCACCTTTCTCCTTTGAACTCTAATTAAACCCTACATAAGACTTTTGATATTGTCCTTGTCAGGTCCCAAGAATGTTTTTCCCTCCATTCTTTAAATTGAATGATGTCTATTAATTTTTCCCATTCTGCTGTTATACCCATCCTATGATATTTTATTTCAAATATGATAAGTTTCAGTTTTAGACTTTTTACTTAATTTTTTTATTGTTTCTATTTCTCTGCCAAGATTCCCTATTCATTCATTTATTCACCAAGAACATAGTTACCTTGAGCCTAGGTGCAGTAATTTTTAAATCTCTTCTATTAAGTTTAGTATCTGGGTCATCTCGGGGTCAGTGTCTATTGACTGTCTTTGCTGTTGAGAATGGTCATGTTTTCCTGTTTCCTCACATATCCAGTACTTGACTGTCATTTCCTCATAAGTCCAGTACTTCAGGGTTGTATCCTACAGTGAGGATGAATAGAGACAATGGATTCTGTTACATTCTTTCAAAGAATGTGGACTTTTTCTTCGGACAAGAAAACTCTTTCTCCCTCTAATAAGCAGCACCTAGAATGCCTCTTTAGTTATTTTGGCTATGCTGGGCTGCCTAGAGTCTGTCCCATGTGTACCTCAGGGGTCAGGCAGAGGTTTAGGGGTGTGTGTGTGTGTGTGTGTGTGTATATATAAATATCATAAAAATTTTATATAAATATAAAATTTTTATATATAGATTTATAAAATTTTATATATAAATATATAATTTTATATAATTTTTTATATAAATGTATATATATTTTAATATTTATTTTTTATTTCTACAATAGCTGGGGTACAGGCCAGAGGTGCGGGAGGGTGAGAGGATTCACCAGAGACAGAGCAGGGAACAGAACAGGCACAGTCTGCTGTGCCATGTGGGCATCTCCCTGGCGGGCCGGGAATCAAACCTGCACTGCGGAGGCTGCAGGCAGCTTCACAGCGCTGTGCTCAACCTGCTACACCACCAGGGAGGCCCAGTTTAGGTATATTTTATAGGCAAATTTAGGACTCCTTTTCAGGTTCTCTTCATTCCAGGATTTCCCTTCTCATTTTCAACTCTCGGTACCCTAAATTCTACCTCTGGTTCTTCAAGCCAGGATTTCTACCCAAACACTAACTACCTGCACGACATGGACCTAGCAGCTCTTCTAATTTAGTTGGTTCTGTTGGTTTTGTCTCATGGATGAACTCACCGGCCGCCAAACCCTCCAGTGTGGCAGACATGTAAAAACTGTGCCCAAGTGGGCTTCACTGTGGGTTCTTCAGATGCCTCCTTAAGCACTTCCACTCAGTGCGGCTCTCCAACAGGGGCTGCCAATCCCTCGAAAGTCCCTCAAGAATCCCTGAAACCTCTATCCCTTAATAAGCATTAGGAACATACCACAGTCTCGTCCTGCTGGGATCTTCTGGAATGATATACAAGGTCCCATTAAGATACCTGAAGCCCAACTCCTCCCATTGCATCCTCTTGGTCAATAGGCTGCTCATCCATGCCTGCTCCACCAGGTAGCATAAGTGTAATTTCCAGCTCCCGGCTGGTCTCTCTCCATCTTACCCATGATCTCCAGGGGGACATATGTGCTAGTATCTTTGTTCCTGGAGACCCCCAAGTCCAAGGGACACAAGTCAAGCACTTTCAAGAATGATCTTACCAGGGCCTCCCCGGTGGCGCAGCAGTTGAGCGCTGGGTTGCGAGGCTGCCCGCGGCCTCTGCAGCACCAGTTCGATCCCCGGCTGCTCCCCAGCCACCAGAGGAGGGTCCTACATGGCGCGCAGACCTCTCCTGCTGCCCGCTGCTCCCCTCAGCAGTGTACTTCGGTCCTTCTGCCTGCTCTGCTCCCTGCTCTGGATCAGTGAATTCTCTCACCCTCCCACGCTTCTGACTGTACCCAGTGCTTGTATGTATGTATGTATAAATCAATCAATCAATCAATCTTCAAAAAAGAAAAGAATGATCTTACCAGGGTTCATTCTAGTACCTGAGATGGACCAATCAGTTTCTGGGGCTTGGCATGCCTCAGAAGGGGATTGAGGTAAGTTTTGTCTCTGGCAGACATCCTGACCCTTACTCACAACCCTTCTGGGGTCCCCTCAATCTTCTATGATGGGTAAATGATTTCTCTATTCCTATGAAGTCCTTTTCAGGAATCACCTTTCAAATTTCTCATCTTCCCTTATGCTGGAGATGGAATCACAGCCAGACTAGTTCTGCCATCTTTTAGCAAATCCTGTGGGAAAGTATCTCTTTAGAATGCTGGTTTTGGGGCTTCCGCCAAATTCTGAGACAAAGGAAATGTCCCATTGCACATCCAGTCACATATTCAATAAATATTTATTAAGAACCTGCACACCTATGGGTGCAGAGAGGAAGGTGGCACATGTCTGCACTCAAGGAGTTTTGCTCTTTAGATGGGAAGCATGAGAGCTGCAGACACTCAATAGCTGCTTCTGCTAAGATGGGGTCCTCTCAGAGCCCAGTGGAGACACCAAGAAGAAAAAGTCACAATGCCCTCCTGGGTTAGGTGGGGTAAGAATGAGGAGGGACATTCGCCAGACAGAAGAGAGGGAGGGTGAACAGCATCACGGAGACCTCAAACAACCTAAGGATCTGGACTTCCCAGGGGCTCATCACCGCTGGGTCGTGGAAGTTGAATTCAGTTCTAAGAACAGCGGGGAGAAGTTTTAAGCAAGAGACTTTCACGATCATACATAACTTCCAGAAAGTTCTTCCTGGTAATAATAGGGAGGGGTGGCTCCTAAGGGTGGAAGGTCAGGAGAAGGCCACTACAGAGATCCAGAGAGAGAGCTGGGGTGGTCCAGGAAGCAGGATTGAAGAGGAAGGGACAGAGGACAGACACATCCAGGAGACATATGACAGGACACAGTGGCTGATGGCAGGAATCTAGGGTGACTCTCACATTTCCAGATATGGTGGTGCCTATAGAGATACAGAAAGGTGAGGCATGCCAGAGCTGATTGCCAGTCCCCGGGAGCAGGTGGTGCACTTCTCATCCCAGCTCTGTGTTCAGGCACATCATAGTAGTAATTTGAAATGAGCATTGGTGGGAATATTCACACCACAGAAACTGGCAAATGCAATGAATCAAGGTTTTTTCCCTCCTGGGAGAGTTGGTTAGTAGTAGTAGTCCCCACTAGGTATTAGGGGAAAGATGCTGGCCTCGAGATTGTGAGGTTGGAGGGACTCTGGGACACTTTTTTAGGACAGCAGAGCCCTGAGTCAGCGGGAAGGATCCAGGAAAGCTCCCTCCCCAAGAGGCTTCTGAGCCTATGGGAGTGGAACAGATCAAGAGGTGAGGAGTTGAGGGGTTGCCCCATGTCATCCCCACTCTCCTCTCTGTTATAGAAGGAGCAGATCAGGTCATACAAAGAACTAGGCTATTGAGGGTAGGGCTGCTGCTGGAGACCCCTGGATGCCTGACATCTGGAAGCCCAGGCAGCTAGAGCACAAGGGCCAGGGCATATGTGCAGAGTGGCTGAGGGATGTGGCAAAGGCCCAGGGAGAGAGATGACTAATGGAAAGGATGAAGACTGAGGCCTTGATGAGATAGGAAACAAGAGCTGAAGGAATGGGTGTGCACACCCTGGAAAGACAGTGGGGGTGGCACAGTCCCAGGAGGTGACAGGATCCAGGGCAAGCCAGGGATGTGGCGGGAGAAGCCAGCAAAGGCAAAGGGAGGTGAGGAAGCTTGAAAGGTCCCAGTGCTTGAGACCTTGCAGACATGTCCCACCCAATGGTGCAGAAGGAGCCACGTGCCAAGCTTTCTGTCCATTTTCCCCACCACAGCCAGCAACAGCCTGATCCCAGTGGCCTTTGTCTTTCAGGGATGAGATTTACTGCCAGATCTGCAAGCAGCTCTCGGAGAACTTCAAACAGAGCAGCCTGGCCCGTGGCTGGATCCTGCTCAGCCTCTGCCTGGGCTGCTTCCCGCCATCAGAGAGATTCATGAAGGTGTGAGGGTTTGGGATAGATCTCAAGGGGGTAGGTTACACTGCAGAATGGTAGACTCTGGGTCCTAGAGCAGGTCTGGGAAATCCTGGTCATGGCCCAGGCCTCCTACAGGCCAGCATGGGCAGAGGCCGCTGCATTTCACTGAGCCTCTGTTCCCCTGTCTATAAATAGAGCAAAGGACCTAGCTCCTTCCTGCAGAGGACCTTTCGCTTGGACTCGAGCACAGGATGGCTCTTCTGAGGAGAAAGAGAGATGGTAGATGAAATGAAATGTGCATTCAAAAAACAATAGGTGTCCAGGGAATGGACAAAGAATGGAGACTGACTATACCCCTGTCCTTAGAGTTGTAATTGGAGGTGGAGTGTTATAAGGGCATCCAAGTGTGGAAGCCCAATCTCCTCTGCCTTAGCAGACCCTTTGGTTCTGATTATAAAATATGCAGGAAATGCAGAACGTATAAAAAGAAAATGAAATGTTACCCAGAGGTAATTTCTGTTAAAATTTCTGGTCTGTTGTGGTGTCCTAGTGTCACACTTGGGATCACACAGAAAACAGCCTCAGCTCTCTGGTGCTCCTTCAGGGCAGCAGAAAGCATCAGGCTGAACTCTGGGGCTACTCCTGACACCAGGAAGCCCTCCCAGACTGCAGCCCCTTGCAGATTCTCTATGTGAGACAAGATGGTCAACACAGTTTTGTCAAACACATTTTGAACATTGAAACTCCTGCATTTCTCACTTACCTCCATAAGTGTCTTGTCACGGCATAAACTTCCCCAGGCCGGCTTCTTAAGTTCATTTAGGGTTCATCTTGCAGCTGCTCATGACCATAAGCATGACTGTGATGAAAAATATGTAATGATACTTTACCTTTAGGATAAATTTGAATTATTGGGTCAAAGAATATGTACATTTTTAACTATGCACTATTGAAATATACTATCAAATTTCCCCTCAGAAGTATGCCAGTTTATGGCCTTCATAGGATGTCTCAGAACACCCATCTTAACATTCCTGTGCCAACATGAATATTATCATTTTTATTTTTAAATTTTTCTAGCTTTTTTGACATATAATTGATCCATAGCATTAAGTTTAAGGTGTGTAACTTAGTGATTTTATGTATTAGTTAACATATTTTATATATTAGTTAACATATCCATCACCCACATAGTTAAAATTAGTATTCTACTTTTAAGAATGTGTCTGGGAAGTAAACAATGTATTCTCCATTCTAAGTATCTTCCTACCTCTCCCTTCCGCACCCACCAGTACCTGCTGAACTTCATTGATCAAGGGCCAGCTGCCTATGGCCCCTTCTGTGCTGAGCGTCTGAGACGCACCTGTACCAACGGGGTGCGCACAGAGCCCCCCACCTGGCCAGAGTTGCAGGTAGGGACCAGCAGGGCCAGGAGAGGTGGGATGATGCCAGATTCCCCTTCTTTTGTCCTGTCACCTAGCATGTCCTCTGGGCTCCTCCACTCCCTCAGAATGCCCTGTGAGCCCCACTGGTTGGGGAGAGGAGGGAATGCTTGGCCCACCTCCAGCCCCAGGGTTGCAGATGCTCCAGGGCAGGCAACTGAACTCAGGAGCTTCCGGGGCCGAGGACCTGAGTCTTTGTCTGTGCCCAGGCTGTCAAGTCCAAGAAGCACATCCCAATCCATGTCTTCTTGCTCACTGGAGAGACCCTGACCATCATGGTGGACTCTGCCTCTACGTCTCGGGAAGTCTGCCTGCAGATTGCCCGCAAGCAGGGCCTCAGAGACTACCTGGGCTTTTCCCTCCAGGTTACCGTGTATAACAAGGTACTGGCCAGGTATCCCCTGAATCACCCACCTGCCATACCATCACACACCCAGATGGCTCAAGCACCATGCCAGCCTGGACACTGCCCACCCTCCCAGCAGCCAAACACAGACACACACGCACACGCACAGAGAAATGTCTCATTGCCAGACAGCCTGACCTCCTGGCCACTACTCACACACTCAGCCCAGAGACTATACCTCAGTCCCCAAAAGTCATCCGCACCCCCTGTCAGTCAGCTGCTTTGGCTGGACAGCCCACCCACAGACATCAACATGGCCCTCACACATTTTCAAACCCCCACGCAGGGGGCTGCATACTCCTACGCCACAGATATGAGGGTCCAGGCAGCACAGCCCCGCCTGAACCCTGCATCCTCACCTATACAGATGCCATCACTCCAATTCCTGCAGCCTCAGCTCCAGACACATGCCCGCCAGCCTGCCAAAGTGTTAAGACCCCAGTGACGATCTCCCTGCTAAGGAGGCACCAGCAAGGAGGGCCTCAGGCGCCCACCTGGGATCCTGTCCTCCAGGAGCCCAGAGCTGGTAGCCAAGCACAGCCCCGCACACGCCTGTGCTGAATGCAGGCATCCCCGTGGGGCCTGGCACACAGAAGTCGCTCACCCTTGCTGTCCCCATTCTGCCCTCAGTTCTGGTCCCTGGGCAATGGGCGTGACCACGTGATGGACGCCATAGCCCAGTGCGAGCAGCTGACCCGGGAGAGGAGCGAGAATGAGCGCCAGTCACCCTGGCGTATGTACTTCCGGAAGGAGTTCTTCACGCCCTGGCATGACTCCCAGGAGGACCCCATCAGCACTAACCTCATTTACCGCCAAGTCATCCACGGCGTCTGGTCTGGCGAGTATAGCTTCAAGAAGGTGAGGGGAAGCTGGGGCCCACGGGGCCCTGAAGAGGGGCCCATCTGGCAGCCTTGTTCCAGGGCTGGAACTGCGGGCCTGGAGCATGGGCAGGCCTGGGCTGCAGCCAACAGGGAGCACCCCAAAAAGGAGGTGGTCTTCAGGCTCCCTGCCAGGCATGTAACTGTCCCTTCTTGGCCCACCATCGGGTTCCTCCTCCCTGGACCACAGATTTGACCAAGCCTCTGGGCCCCACAGTCCTAAGGCCAAAGGCTGAACAGGGCTTTGGCTGCACAGGGAACACAGGCTCCTTGACACAGGTGGGGCCTCTGGAATGGGCCCCCTGCCTGTGCTCCATGCCTGGTACTTCTGCAGAATTCTTTCCCACTGAGTCCTTGCAGAATCCCCACAGGGTGACCATGGGTCATCCTTGAAAAGTAAGGACGGGTGGGGGGGCATAGGGGGGTGGCCTAGGGGTTAAGTCTCAGTGCTATCACCGCTGCAGCCTGAGTTTGATCCCCGGCTGCTCCCCTCAGCAATGTATTCCAATAGATCGGCCTCTTCTCCCTACTCTTCTCTGGCGAATCCTCTCACGCCTCCACCTCTGGCCTACACCCCAGTTATTCTATGCCAAAAAAGAAAAAAAAAAGAAAGAAAGAAAGAAAAGTGAGGACTGGGTAAAACAAACCAAAAGCCTTGCCCACACTTGCCCCTGCTCAGCAGCAATGTGGGGGTTCCGCCTCACCTCAGGGATCCCTCCCCATACTCACTGGCTCTGCAAAGATGGGGAGGAGCACCCAATCAGGTCACGTGATAGTCCACCAAGTTGGGGGATCTGTGGGTTCTGCCTGGGGGATGAGGCAGGTGAGGTGCCACATACATCCCCACTGCTATCCTGAGGTGAGAGCCAGGCAGGGTGGAGGGTTGCGGGGAGGCTCCCACATGGCCCCAAGGCCCTCTTGTGTGTCCCAGGAGGAAGAGCTGGTAGAGCTGCTGGCCCGGCACTGTTATGTGCAGCTCGGCGCCTCAGCAGGGAGCCAAGCTGTCCTGGAGCTGCTGCCCAGCTGCATCCCCGCTAAGCTGCACAGGACCAAGACCCCAGAAAAGTGGGCTAGCCTCGTCACTGCCGCCCACGCACAGGTCAGCCTCCACGGTGCCCGGGGGTTCTGGGAATGGGAGCTTTCACTTGTCAGTTGGCAAGTTCAGTCTCCAGTTGAAACAATCTCGTTCGGTTCAGCTCTGGACCATGGGCCATGCCGTATCCCCTCTCCCTTTCAAATAGCATTCTAGACAGGTTAGGGCAGCTCATCCCAGCCATACCGGTCTCCCCTGCAACATCTGTCTGGGCCCTGACCTTTTAGCACAAGAGGGCATCCACAGCTGCTGACCATGACGCCACCAAGGAAGGCGCCAGTCCTCCCTTGAGGCCACTCCATCCTGCCTCAGACTCTCAGGGTCCCCTTGCTGGGCCCTAAATGCTTGGTGTAGGCTCTGGACAGCATGGAGGGCTGCCCCTCTTCTACTCCTGCTGGAAGGCCTGCACCACGTGCACATGGGGCTCTCCATGCCTCTACACCCCAGCGCACACTGTCCTGAGGCTCACCCATACCCGTGGAGGCTTCTGCTTTTCCCTGAGCTTCCACTCCAAGGGGGGACATCAGAGACCCTGTCTGATCATTAGCCCCCTGCCTCCCTTCCTCTCCCCACAAAGGAGAGCCCCCGAATCCTCCCCTGTTGCGACAGGGGCTGCCATCTGTCCTCATCTCTTTCCTCCCTGTGGGCTGAGCTCTAGAGTGTGGCCCGAGCACACAAAGGCATCTCTAAGGTGCCCCATGGTGCTGGCATTGAGGACAAAACCATTTGGCCAACACTTCTGTTATCCTCGCGGCGCTCTGGACTGGGAACGGACAGGACAGGGAGCGGGCATGGAGATGACAGTGCCTGGGCTGACCATCCAGGGCAGGGAGATAAATGCCAGGTGAGCGGCTCAGGCAGCAGGTTCAGAGGGCAGTGAGGCCGACCCAGGGATGCAGTCTCCATTCTGCTGCACAAAGTGGGCCCGTGGGCTCGAGTCCTGGGTAGTGCGGGAGCGGCACCCTGCTCTGACCCGGCGCAGGCAGCCGCAGCGCCCGGGCAGCAACGCAGGGCGTGAGGCACCTGGCGGTTGTGCCAGCGTTTCCCACACACGCTTCAGCACAGGGCTTCTGTCCGCAAGCCGTCCTTTCCCTGGCACCCCTGGGGAACACGCCTCGGCAACGAGCATGTGGGGTGAGCAAGCCCTCTTGGTCATGTGTGGTGTTTCCCAGCCCGCTGGTTGCGCTTGGAGGTGCGACCTTGGACTTTGTGGTTCTCACATGAACTCAAACCATCATGAGCAAGAGGCAGCTTGATTTGGGAAGGGGTGTTGGGGTAAGTGGGGGTGGAAGAATTAGGATTTTTTACCTTACCCATATTTCCAAATTGAACATAGTTTCACTGAATTTTTTTAAACACTTAAAAAACATACATTACCCCCCTCAAAAAAAATCAGAAAAGCCACGTACAAAGAAAAAAGTGAAATCACCCATAATATCATAGCGAAAGGTCACTTCTCTTGACATGGGGTGCACAGCCTTCCTCACTGTTAGCATCATAGATACACACAGGGGCAGAAGGAGGACTAGGGAGACGCCACCTTCCTCACAGTGAAAGTAGGCCATTGCACCAAGTCCTCAACTTCCTCTCTCGGCCCTGTCACCTGGGTCCCGACTCCGCGTCCCGGAGCTCCGGTCTGGGTGTTTTCCATGGCGCTTGTCATTGACTGACGCCTCTTGATGAATGTTAACATTGTTCACTATTAGGACGAGGTGAATCACCTTGTAGACCCACTTTTATACCCTTGAAGGCAATTTCTTCAGAATAAATGGATAGAAGCAGGATTTCAGCGTGAATGCACTTTCTAAAGCACTGGCTACTCATCGCTTATTTAGAGCCCTTGTGCGTTCCCAAACCCAGTTCCTGGCCATCGCCCACCCGCTTTTTAAAGTAGGGACGAGAGAGGTCGCTCCGCAAGCAGTAACAAGCGCCTTCGCCAGCTCCGGACACAGCAGCCGGCAGTGAGGGGAGCGGAGAGCCCGGGAGGGAGGGAGGAAAGTCCCAGGCGGGACTAGAGCGGAGCCGCCCTTGCAGAGGCGCCCTGCAAATACGCGGCAAAGACTGAGGGACCAGGTGACAGACCTGGAGCAAGTCGGGCCTCCCCCCCACACACACCCTGCACAGCCCAGCAGAGCAAGGGCAAGCGCGCGTGCAACACAGCCCTTGTGCACATTCGCGTGTGCCACCTCAGCTGCCAGCCTTGCCTGGAGCCCGGGGCGTCCTGACACTGACCAGGAGCCCGCCTCCCTCCCAGAACCGCGCCAGCAGGGGCCCTCCCACCGGGTGGGTGGAGCGAGGTGTTTCTCCTCCCGGCCTTGCTCGCCATCCCCACTTTAGGCAGCAATGCAGCAAACGAGCACCCTGGGTTCTGGGCAGGAAGAGCCTCCTCTCCGGGCAGCCAGGCCGGGCAAGAGGTGCATGTGGGGGTGACACGCCGTGTTCCCGCGCAGGCATCGTACACCCGGAGTCGGGCGACGCCCCAGACTGTGCAGGAGCAGGTGGTGGATGCTGCCCGCCTGCAGTGGCCGCTGCTCTTCTCCCAGCTCTTCGAAGTCACCACACTCTCTGGTAAGGGTTCTCACAGGGTGGGGGCTGCAGGCAGGGGCAGGGGCCGAGGGAGGCAAGAGGGCCCGTCCACCCTTCACACCTGTCTCTTGCGGCCAGGCCCCCGACTGCCCAAAACTCAGCTGGTCTTGGCTGTTAACTGGAAGGGGCTGTACTTCTTGGACCAGAAGGAGAAGTTGCTTCTAGAACTGTCTTTCATGGAGGTCATGAGCCTGGTCACCAACAGGTGGGTGCCAAGAGAAGACACCACAAATCTCTCCTCCCCAGGGCCTCTGGGAGAGAAGAGGGAGTAGGATGCCTGGATATCTGGCCGGGTACAGCATGGGCTGAGTCCACCATGTGGTTGATGGCCTCCAGACATGGACTTGCTGCCCACCGAGTGCTCCGTCTGTGCACCATGCCTCAAGGCTTCTTTTGAACCCCAAGTACTCCTGGCACCTTTTGGGTGTGCATTCATTTACAGCTCTTCCTTTCTCATGGTCACGTGGAAAGTACTGACCGCCTGGGAGAGGGAGCCAGGACCAGGGCCTTGGTGTGTGTGGCCTTAACCAGCCTTAACCAGGCTGGGCCTTGCACACTCTCTTCCCCAGAGTTAAAGCACACACAGTGTGATGTACACACACGCAGGGTGCACACTAGCCACCACAGACAGAGGCTGACCCTGCCGGGCACTTTCTTATATGCCAGGAAGTCCTCCCAGAATACCCATGCCTGCAGATGAGTAACCTGAAGCAATCAGAGGCTCAGCAGCTCACACAGGCCCACCAAGGCTAGCGCTTCATCTCAACTTCAAGATTTTTTGAGGTGTCCCTGGGGTAGCCTGCACCCAAGTAACCTCATTACCTGCTCAGAGCCCACCCTCAAGACTGGCTTGGCACCACACACAGCTGCCAAGGCCTGCATGCTGGGAAGTGGACCAACCCAAGCTCAGACTCAGACCTGTCAGTAGCCTTTATCTGTAATTTAGGAAGGGCATCCCCTCTGCAGCTATGGAGGGACTGGAACAAGGGAGGGTAGAAGAGGCTTCTGGTAATGTTGCACCCCTTGTCCCTTCAGGGAGGCCCGTGGCGGACAGAGACTGGTGCTGTCCACTCTGCATGAAGAGGAGTATGAGTTCGCATCCCCCAGCAGCGTGGCCATCGCCGAGCTGGTGGCCTTGTTTCTGGAGGGCTTGAAGGAAAGGTCCATGTTCGCCATGGCCCTGCAGGACCAGAAGGCCACAGGTGCCCAGTGGGGTGGGGAGGGGGCACGCTGAGGAATTTGCCTCAGAGTGGAAGGGCAGTTGGCTCATCTCCTCTCAGCAGCTCTGTGGCATGGAGCAGGGCTCAGGGACGTGGCAGAGAGGGAAAGCTCTGGGGGGACAACTTCAGGCCCTCCCCTCTATAAAACGAGGGGATTCAAAGAGGTGATCACAAACCCTCCAACAATACCCCAGCTGAGAGTCCTATACGACAGCAGAAGCCGGGGGAAGGGCTGATACCCTCCCCTCAGGGACCAGGCCTCCAGCCTGTGCTTTGCACAGCCTCCTCACAGCCACCCTGCCACCCCATCTTACAGACAAGGAACTGGAGGCTCAGAAGAGGGAAGCAGCTCAGGGGTACGGGGTTTGAGCCCTAGCAGTCTAGTTTTTGGCCACAGCTCCCTTAACACGGGAATTGAGAAGAGCTGAGCAGTCCTGGGAAATTAGGGGAGGCTGTGGACACTGGAGCTTCAGACAGTGCCAGAGGCTCATAGGAATCAGAGGAGGGGACTGGGCCTGGGCGCTTTAGCACTAAGAAAGTCAACCCTTAGACTTTACCCCATGGCCCATTCTGTCCTAAACTTCCCCAGGAGGAAGGGGCTGAGGATGACTCCATTTTACAGATGAGCAAGTCAGTGGTTGAGAGCCCCTGCCTGTGTATCCCAGTTGCTTGTCAACCACTGCTTGCCTTCCACGCCGTGGCTCCTGGTCAGGCCACGAAGCAGGTCTCCCAAAACTGGAGCTTGAGTCAGAAGTCACAGCCTCACCCACTTGGGCTCTGTGGCTATCCAGGCCCTTTAAGGGCCTGAGCTTGGAATCCTACGAGCGCCCACTCTCAGAGTGGCTGTGAGTCTACAGTTGTGTGCCTCAGTTTCTTCATCTGTCGATGGAGACCACCCCTAAAATGCCAGCACCACTTCCGGACTCGGCAAACCCCTGGGTAAATGGGAAATGATGTGTGTGACCTGGAATTGCAGATGACCCCAGCTTCCTCACCTTCAAGAAGGGGGACTTGCTGATCCTGACAAAGAAGAACGAGACGCCAGCCTCTGAGACATGGGTCCTGGGCCAGAACGACAGGACGGGCAAGAAGGGGCTGGTGCCTGTGGCCTGCCTCTATTCCATCCCTACGGTCACCAAGCCCTCGGCGCAGCTGCTGGTAACTCTTGCTCACCTGCCCTCAGCCCAGAGTCCTGTGGGCACATGGAGAAGCATCCTTGGACACCCATCTTCGGTCCTAGCTCAGGGACCTGCACCTCTTCCTTCACAGAGGGCCAGGAGGGCTACTGGGAATCAGGTCAGCTCTGCTGGCTCCACATCCCTCTGGGCTGATTATGACGCAGGTGGTGTTTGTGCAGTGCTCAACATGCTCTGGGCACTACCAGGTGCTACCTGTGCTTTCCTCAGACTCGGCCTCACTGAGATCCTGAGCCAAGGGTACCAAAGCCACCTACCCCCATAAATCACCCCATCCCAAGCCCAAGATGAGCCATACAGAGGGGTGTAGCCACAAGATCCTGACATGATCCTCCATATCCCAAGCCAGCTGTGTACCGGCAGTGCAGGATTGCACAGTCAAGTTCTACCTTCAAGGAACATACAGATGTTTGGGCAAAAGATGAGCTAGTGGCAGATGTGCAAAATGCCACCAAGGAAAAGTGCTGGTTGTCATGGGGGCCAGGAATAGGGTAGGTACTTGTCCTGTCTGGGAAAGTGCCCTGAGGAAGTGACATTTGTGCTGAGATCTGAAGAACGTGGGGGGCAAGACAGGCAGAGTCCAAGATGTCCCTGAGGGTAGGTGCTCTGAGGAAGGGGGCCTGAGAACACTTCTAAGGGAAAGGAATAGGTTCAGAGAAGTTGAGTCACTAGGCCAGAGTCCCACAGCAGGTGATGGTCCACCTCCTCCCAAGCCAGAGACAACCAGGTCAGGAGGAATGAAAGGGAAGGGCCTCAGGCAGTGTCCAAGGAACCCACAGGTCTGCACCCCCACAGAACTTGCTGGCCATGTCACCAGAGAAGCGGAAGCTGGCGGCCCAGGAGGTACGGCCTGCAGAGCCAGTGCCTGAGGAGGAGCCCAAGGAGGCGCCACACACCCTGGAGGAATTCTCTTATGAGCATTTCAGGTGCTCACCCAGTCACCCCTCCTCAGGCCCAGGCTCGACCTACCCCCTCTGTGTTCTTCTGAGGGGTGGGGAGGGCCCAGAGGTGTGCGGGGCCCATCTGGCTTCCCAGGTCAACTTGGGGACCCTGGTCCTCCCACAGCCCTTGGGAGGGCTCTCCCCACTGGGCCCACCTGGTGGGCAGTCAGAGGATCGGGGGAGAGGAGGGACAGAGAAGGCCAGGGGTGGGCCCTCACGCCAGCCTCTGTCCTGCAGGACCCCAGAGAAGGAGACCATCAGCCGAGCCATGCCCCTGGCCAGGACTCGGGGCCACCTGTGGGCCCACTGCTCCGAGCCCCTGCGGCAGCCTCTGCTCAAGCGTGTCCACGCCAATGCTGAGCTGCAGGACGTGGCCTGCCAGATCTTCATCGATATCCTTTCCTGCCAGTCTACCCCTGTGCCACGCCCGCACCTCACAAGCCCCACCACCCCCTGCAAGGGCCTGGACCCCAGGACACAGGGCAGGGGCAACATGCAGCTCCCTGGGAGGCTGGTCAGGGGTCAGTGTGGGGCCCATGTCAGGGTGACAGGCCATCACAACGGCACGTTCTCCTTGACGGCAGCACCCATCCTCAGGTACATGGGTGACTACCCATCTCGGCAGGCCTGGACCTCCCTGGAGCTCACCGACCAGATCTTCACCTTGGCCCTCCAGGACACAGCCCTGCAGGACGAGGTCTACTGCCAGATCCTGAAGCAGCTGACAAACAATACCAAGAGGTGTGCTGGGGTGGGGTGGGTGGACACACCCGCACGCACGCCCTGCCATGCATGTCCATGTCCTGTCCTCATTCCTGCCCTGCCTCTCAGAGGGAGACAGCAGCAGCTCGTGCAGCCTGACCAGTTGGCTTTGGGGGTGGTCAGAGCAGGGAAGGAAACAGCCCTGTTCTGGGCCCTGACTGCTATACCTTTCCTCCTTTGTGACCAGAAGGCCTCTTGAAGCCTCAGTGTCCTCCACAAAATGGGCACAACAGCCCCTGCTCCCCACCTCATAGGGGTGAAAACAAAGACTGCTGTGGCTTTGTTAGTTGGCTAGTAGGCCTCCTTGCCCACGACTGCAGCCAGGCCCAGTGTCTCATCTCTCTTTGGTGCCTGACCTGCCTGGGCCTCCAGGAAGGGTCCTTCCTGGGCTGATGGGCACTGCCACCCCCAGGTACAGTGAAGAGAGGGGCTGGCAACTGCTGTGGCTCTGCACGGGCCTCTTCGCACCCAGCAAGGCACTGCTGCCCCATGCCCAGAAATTCATAGACACTCGGAGGAAGAAGCTGCTGGCCTCCGACTGTGGCCGCCGGATCCAGAGGGTCCTGAGGTGAGACTGCAGCCCCCACACTCCCCAGGAGTGACACCCAGGCCACCTGTATGGAGATTCTGAGGGGACCAGGTGGGCCTCCAGGAGTTGATGGTTCGGTGTAGACACACTAGTGGCCAAACTGTGTTCTATCCAGAAGCTGCTTTCAGTGTGGGGAGGCTGGCCCAGACCCTGCCACTGGGGAGAGATGAGAGGGGTAGTCCCAGGAAGGTCATGGAGAGGCCTGGGTAGTTAATAGAAGCACGTGATAGCCACCATCATAAGCACAAGCTCCCCCCACCCTCACCCAACAGCTGCCAATTGAAAGCACAGAGGGAACTGCCTGGATTCCAGGGGTGACCTCAGGGCTCACACCTCCTGCTACCCACCCCGCCCAGCAGAGAGGGGCTGACATCAGAGACCCATCCCTGCCAGTCTGTGGTGTGTCCCCACCGTGGCCCTGCCTCAGCTGGGTCCTTCTTCCTTGACCCTGTCTTGGTTCTCCTCCATGCTGGCTGCCCCCTGGCTTGGCCTCCTGTGGCTGTAGGAATGGGTAGGTTGGCAGAGTGAGATGCCATGTCAGTGAGTGGTAGCCCTGGTCATGAGGGGGGAGTGGGTATCTTCATAGAGTCCTGCCCACATCCCTGACCCCTGCCTGATACCCCTGGAATGCGAGAAAAGGATCGCAAGACACCCTGCCCACTGGCACCTGACCAAGGTGGCCCTAGCCAGCCCAGCCCCCCCACTTGTGTCCCAGGCTCCTCAGGCCTCCTCAGAACTTCTGGTCACCTGGGAGGTGAGTCCTCTGTCTCCTCCCTGGGCCCGGGTGTGGAGCACCCAGGCAGAGGCGGCTCCTGGAAGCCACCTCAGCAGTGGTCACTGAGGTACTTTTTGTTTTATATCTGGCACATAGTCTAGGGCCTCCTTGGAAGCTGGGCCTGGTGGGTAGCAGGGTGGGACATGAATTAAGTACTGTCTTGCTCTAGGACGGGGCCCCGCAAGCAGCCCCCACACCAGGTGGAGGTGGAGGCCACAGAGCAGAAGGTCTCCCGCATCTGCCACAAGATCTACCTCCCTAATGACACCAGTGAGGTGAGCCCCCAGCCCAAGGGTCTTACCCTCCCAGGCCTGCTTTTAGCCCAGAGCACAGCTCATCCCCACCTGGGTTACCTGAGCAGACTGACAGGGCTATTCCCAGAGTAGAGTGGACACCTCACCTTCACTGCTCTCCTACCACCCCCCCAACCCGAAGCTCCCCCAAGAGACTGCTCGTGCCCTCATTGGTACCTCACAAACATGACCCAAGTGCCCAGGGAGGCTGCTAGTACAGTGGGGAGTCAGGACGGCCCAGAGGGACATTCTAGGCCCAGGCACAGCCAGAAGTGTGGGCAGCAAGGCCAAGTCCCAGCCTGGGAGCTGTAGGGGTTTCTAACCCTGCCTGGGATCCAAGTAGCCAGTGCTGCCATTACTGCGCCTATGGACAGAGCCCCAGGTTGGCTGCCAGGGACAGTGGAGGGGACAGGTGGGAAGTGAGAGACCGCAGGACTCAGCTGTTGTGAGGAGGCCTGTGGTCACATGGTAGCAGTGGAGCATGGGGGCTAACTGCTGTCCTCAAAGTTCTCCCCTGTGGCACCATGCCTTTCCTGTCTTAAAACAGGGCTAGGGCCTCCCCTGGTGGTGCAGGCGGTTGAGCGCTGGGCTGTGAAGCTGTCTGCAGCCTCTGCAGCGCGGGTTTGATTCCCACTGCCCAAGGAGATACCCACATGGGGTGGCAGACCTCTCCTGTCTCGCCCGCTGCTCCCCTCAGCAGTGTGCTTCGTCAGTCTGCCTGTTCTGTTCCCCTCTCTGGCTCTGGTGAATTCTCTCACCCTCCCGCGCATCTGGCCTGTACTCCGGTTCTTGTATAAATAAATATTTTTTTTAAAAAAGGGGGGGGCTAGACCCCAAATAGGAAGTTCCCACAGTCTGGCTGCAGGATGCTCAAAGCAACTTCAAAATGCCGGGCCTCTTGAGCCCTAGAGGGTGAATGCTGTGATGACATGAAAAGTCTGAGCAGTTTTTTCTATATGGGAAGGCTAGTCCCTCTCAGGAAAGGGTATACGCTCTTCAGTCTCATGCAGGAGCTGGTGTCAGGCCATGAGGGGTCGGTCCAGGTTGCCCTCATGCTGGGACACTCACATGTTACCTCTCTGCCAGATGGTGGAGGTGGGTAGCAACACCCGGGTGCGGGACGTGTGCGAGAGCATCAGCGCCCGGCTGCAGCTGGCCTCCTGGGAAGGCTGCAGCCTCTTCATCAAGATCGCAGACAAGGTGTGGCCGGCAAAGCGAGCCAGGAGGGAAGGCGGGCAGGGGTGGGGCAGGCTCTCCCCATGTCGGCCACGCTGCACACAGGCTGGCAGGATGGAGGTGGGTGGTGAGTGGAGCCTCCACAGGCAGCCAACATGGAGACAGGCCCTCAGGTGAGCAAGGGCCCCTCTCTCAGCCCCTAGCTTCCCCAGTCCTGGGCACTCCTTAGCAGGAACCCCCGAAACCCTCCACCTGCCTGCCTCCCAGTGCCTTCCTCTCCATCCACCCCAGGTCATCAGCCAGAAGGAGGGAGACTTCTTCTTCGACTCCTTGCGGGAGGTAGCTGACTGGGTGAAGAAGAGCAAACCCCAGAAAGAAGGTTAGGCGGTCTCTGGGCGGGGGTGGGGGACAAGGAAAGCGGGAAGGAGATGGCTGGGAGGGAAGGGCGAGGGCCAGGACCGGCTGTTTCCCCAGCCAGGTCCGAAGGCTCTTCTGGCCCCTCCCGCCCAGCCCCTGCCCAATCCTTCATGCTTGTATAGCCTTCCACGTGCCCTGGGTTATGGTGCAGCCAGACCTGGGAGCGAGCTGTGAGCACCCTGCCCAGGGAGCTCACCCGGTTTGGCAGGGGCAGGATATGAGGACCAGCCAGGGCAGGCGGCATAGCTGCAGGGTGATGAAGGCCGCGTGGGGCTGGGAGGACCAATGCCCCTAGGGAGGACCAGGCACCTTTCTGGAGAATACGGCCTCTGCGCTAGTCTCGGAGGCTGAGGAGGAGCTGGGGCAGGGCACAGAAAGCTGGGCAGGCAGCCAAAGCACACACAGCAGTGACCTGAGGGGTGCCAAGGAGCATATCCTGCAGGGTGCAGGAAGGTGCCTTGGGGCCGGGAAATGGATTGGGTGGGGAGCACAGACATGGAGCTGGGGTGGCCTTGGAGGGAACAGGGCCACAAGACAGGCTTGGTGCTCACTACTGCCCCTGCAGGGGCCCCCGTGCTGCTTCCCTATCAGGTGTACTTCATGCGGAAGCTGTGGCTTGCTGTGACCCCAGGGAAGGATGTGAAAGCAGACACTGTACTCCATTACCACCAGGTGCCCACCCAGTGCCCTCCTCCCTGTGGGTGTGCAGGCCCTGCTCACTCCATCCCACACCTGCCCTCAGAGGTGGAAGAGGTAGCAAGTCAGTTCTTGCCTTGTCCCAGGGCACCTAGCCTAGGCCTAGGCTTCTGAAGGCCCTTGGTGGTCCCCCTAAACCCCTGAAGTTTCTGGGCTAAGAGCAGAGGGATAGCAGTGACTCTACCAGCATCAACAGCAGACAGAAGAAGGGGGGGGTGGCAGGGAAGCAACGGAGGACAAAGGCTTGTGCAGCCAACATAGCATAAACCTTGCTCTGAGGGACCGGCACTATATGTCAGGGTAGAGCTGGTCACCCCCACGAGATGGAATAAGCCCTACCCACTCATGGTCGTCCCCCTCTTGGAAATTCTACTCCAAGGGCCTTAGCTGTTTTCTGGCTCAGATCTCCTGGATGGGATGGCTAACACCCTAGGCCCCTACCCCCACCACAAAACGAGTGCCTACCCCTGAGGCCCAGTGTGTCCATCACCCAGGAGCTGCCCAAGTACCTGCGTGGGTTCCACAAGTGCTCACGGGAGGATGCTGTCCACCTGGCAGGCCTCATCTACAAGGCCCAGTTTAACAATGACCAGTCCCACCTGGCTAGTATCCCCAAGATCCTGAGGGAACTGGTGCCTGAGAACCTCACACGCCTGATGTCTTCAGAAGAATGGAAAAAGGTGTTTGGCAGGGGCTGTGGAGGGGTCCTGGAGGGGTGGTCTGGCCTGGGCCCTCCCTGTGTGTGGAGGGAGGCCTGTGCCTTCCCACACTCTCTGCAGCATTTGGGAGACGCTTTTGCCTCCTCGGGACAGAGAGCACCTGGGCGCGGAGGGCCAGGCTGGTCTGCCGGCGCTGCTGGGCTGGGGCCCAGGAGGACAGAGCAGTCCCGCTCAGGCTCTGGCTGGTCCCCATGCCCCTAGAGCATCCTTCTGGCCTTTGACAAGCATAAAGACAAGACAGTGGAGGAGGCCAAAGTGGCCTTCCTGAAGAGGATCTGCCGGTGGCCCACCTTTGGGTCAGCCTTCTTCGAGGTGAAGGTAAGCCTCACCCACCAGGCCCAGCCAGCTGCCCCCCGCCAGCCTGAGCTTCTCCTCAAACACTCATCTTGGGGTGGGCTGGCATGAGGCTAGGAGCAGTGTGTCTGCTCGCGACTTGCATGCATGTACCTCAGGGAGGTGGTATCTGGCCCCCCAGGCAGGGCCGTGACCACTGTGCTCCCCTCCCCAGCAAACCTCAGAGCCCTCCTATCCGGATATCATCCTCATCGCCATCAACCGACAAGGGGTTCTGCTTATCCACCCGAAGACAAAGGTAGCGCCAGGGCCCCGGCAGGCTAGGGAGGCCCCCAGGGTCCCGGGAGCCCTGTGTAGGCAGGGCTGAGGTCCCCCAAACTCCCCTGGGCTCTGGAGGACCTGGCAGCAGCCACTCAAGCTCAGGGCCCCAGTCCCCAGACGCCTGGGCTGGCCAGCTCCTAAGCCCGCTCCCCCTCTGCCCTCAGGAGCAGCTCACTTCCTACCCCTTCACCAAGATTGCCAACTGGAGCAGCGGCAGCACCTACTTCCACATGGTGCTGGGGAGCCTGGGCCGAGGCGGTCGTTTGCTGTGTGAGACCTCTCTGGTGAGCCCGCCCCTCCTCCCTCCTCCTGTCTACACAGCTGAGAGGCACCAGGCAGCGGGTTTCCCCCACTCTCACGCCCACTGCCACCAGATCACTTGCTCACTCTGAGGGCCTAGCCGCCAGTGCCAGGGGGTGGACAAGGCCAGGGGGCAGCAGCGGCCTAGGGGGAGGCTGCACAAGGGAAGGGCTGGGGTGCCCAGTGCTCTTGCCCCACTCTGAGGAGGGAGGGGCCTTAGGACCCAGCACCCCCTGCCCAGAGTGTCCTGACACACTCTGAGTACCCAGGGGCTCTCCCCTCTCCCCATACCTGTACTCCCAGACTCCAACCCCACCCTTCCCCTGTCCAGGGCTACAAAATGGATGACCTGATGACCTCCTACGTGCAACACCTCCTGAATACCATGAACAAGCAGCGGGGCTCTCGGGCACTAGCTGATCCTTAGCAGGGGAGCCCACGTTTCTGCCGTCAGGAGTGGGGATCCTAGAGGGACTTCCCAAGGGCCCTGCCCGTCCGGGGCCTGCCCCCTGCAGGCCATCTTTCACAGTCCCTCTTCCCAAACACAGCCCATGCCCCTCAGCCCCCCAGCTGGGCCCCTCTCTCAGGGACTGAGCCCGGAGGCCAAAGGAGGGAGCCCAGGGCAAGGCTGGGCGGTCGGGCCTGCAGGCCCACGCCTGAGTGGCTCAAGAGATGTTCAATAAAAGCCCATGGAGCACCGGGAGGTGTACCAGTGAGAGGACATGGTGGGGCTCAGGTGGCCGAGGCCATGGAGGCAGAGGCCGGCAAGAGAAGGATCTCTTCCAGGAGGAGCAAAACGCATGTGACCCTGCAGGACACCAGGATGACAGCTCCACTTGCAGGAAATGCTTCCATTCATTCCTCTTGTCTCATTTCCTCTCCGCCTCCCTTCTTGTTTCTCAGACTGGAGAGTTTTCCTACTTAAGCCCCACCAGCCTCTCCTCCTTGTCTGCAGGCCCTGCCGGCGGGCTGGTGGAGGTGCAGGCCAAGCTGCCTGCTCTCAGCCACTGGTTCCACCCAACGGCCAGCCTCTCCCAGCTAGGAGCAGGCTTGGGTTTGCCCTGCCATGCTGACAGGCCCTGGGGAGCCTGCCCCTGCCCTCAGCCCAGGGCCAGCCCTTGTGGACTATGGGTTTCTAGCTGGTCTTATCTCCTCTGATGGCAGAGGGGCTGGGAACAGGCCCCACCTGACAAGTCCTGCCTGCCCTGATCCTTAATGTCCGGCAGCCCCCACATCCGTGTCTACAGGGCGCTCCCCACCACCCTCCGCACCACAAACCACGCAGCCTGTGTGACAGTGTTAGTAAGCCTTCATTCACTGTGCATCCCGGCGGCAGGTCTCGCGTGGCCAGGAAGGAAGACTCCTTCCTGGAGGAAAGAAATGAGCCACCTACCCGTCCTCCCTGCTCCTGGCTGCCCCCCAAAACTCAGTGTGTGCCCTGAGGGGGCTGTGGGGGGTCACAGAGAGACTTGGGGGAGCCATAGCATTCCCAAGCCCAGGGTGGAACTGCCAAGGCAGGATATCAGGAAGGAACCCTAAGTGCTGGGGGAGTAGGGTTTGTGTATGTCTGCAAATTTGTGGGGTGCAATGGTAGGACTTGCTGCCCAGCATGGGCACAGGGATCCTCCTTAGATGAGCGAGCCTGTGGCCAAGAGATGGCATTCCTGTGGCCAAGGAATGGCCCTGGGCCATTCCCAGGGCACCTGGTCCTGGGGCTGGGGCAGCGGCTGACTAGGGCTGCCCGGAGGCTCTGTGCACACCGTGGGGTCGCTGGTCAAGCTCTCACAGTAGGCCCCTGCGGTGCTGGGACAGCTGGAATGGGCAAGGCTTGGAGCTGCAGCCCACCTTTGGGGCCAGGTGACACCAGGTCCCAATTTGCTCCTGTCCCTGCAGGACTTCGGACACTGGCCCCTTACACACTCACAAGCTCCAGTGCCCCTCAGTCCTGCTCACCACGCAGAAGAGAGGAGGCGGGCGGGGGAAGGCAGAGGGGGAGACAGCAGAGAGAAGATGGAGGGGAGAATCCTGCGTGGAGAAAGGGAGGTAGGAGATGGGAGAGGGGGCAGGCAAAGAGATGAGACAAGGCTCAAAGCAGCAGAGGGGCAGGAAGCCACCAGGCAGGAGGAGGAGAAAGGCGGCAGGCAGCAGCAGGCCTCTCAAGCGGAGTTGAGGCCCACGGACTTGGGGTGGGCCTTGCGGGAGGCCAGCTCTGACAGTTTCTTCAGTCGCTTCTTCAGTTCCAGTGGGAATTTCTCGTAGCACTTCTTACACACAGGCTTCATGTCGAACTCCACAAACTTGTTCCTGAGGAGGACGTCAGCCTTCAGGGGTGTGTGCCCCACCCACTCGGGCCAAGAAGGATCCCAGGTCCCCAGGACCAGCAGAGGCAGAGGAGTGGGCTGCCCTGGCCCTCTGCCTCCCCACCCCCTTACTTACTTCAGGGTGAGCTTGCTGTTGCAGGTGGAACAGGAGAAGCAGTTCACACACCAGGCCTTGTTGAGCGCTGACACCACTATGAGGGGCAGACAGGGGGCCTTAGCCAGCCTCACCCAGCCCAGTCACAGGCCCAGTTGTGCAAAGTGAGGACCAGCTGGGCCTACAGCTGCAGGCACCCCCACCCAGAGGGGAAGTGGGGGATGGGGGGCACAGGGACAGAGGAGCCTTACCATCACCCTCGATCACGTGACTGCAGTTGTAGCAGACATCCCCGAATAGCTGTGCACAAAGGCAGGTGTCAGAGGGGCTGCAGGCAGCTGGGTTGCCCGTCCAGGGCAAGGGGTGCAGCCTGGTCCCAGTCCCTCCCAACTCCAGGCATCAGCCTATCGGGACACAGCCTCAGGCAATGAGATGAAGGCAACCTGACTCATCACAATCCTCCCCAGGTAGGACGACTGGGTGAACAGGGTCAGCATTCCCCCCAGGAGGCTGGCCCAGGGCAGTGTCCAGGTGGCGGATGGGGGCAGATGAGCCCAGATCCCACACCGTCCTCTCTCAGCCCTCGCAACGGGCGCGGGCCACAGAGTGCATTCTCACTAGCGGTCACTGAGGCCAGGTCCCCAGAGTGCAGGCACACAGGCCTGGCCTCAGCGCCCACAGTGGGCACTGACACCACTGTGAGGGGCAGACAGGGGGCCTTAGCCAGCCTCGCCCAGCCCAGTCACAGGCCCAGTTGTGCAAAGTGAGGACCAGCTGGGAACTGGCACACACCTCCCCAGTCCACCTCCCTACCGGCTTCTTCCCTCAGCCCCACAGCCAGGCAGCCTCTCCTGTAGCTCCCGTCCAGACTTGAGGCAGGCCTGCCCACCACCCTCTTACAACTAGGCCTCACCTGGTTGTAGTGGGTCTCACAGTAGGCCAGGCCCTTCTTCTCGTAATGTCGGTGCCCCAGGAACGGCTTCTCACACTTGGCACAGACAAAATGCTGGGGGGAGAGGTGCCAGGACTGAGTAGTGACCCAGGAGACCGAGAGGAAATCAGGGCCAGCAGCAGGGAGGCCAGCATGGCGCGGGGCTAACATCTCCATGGACTAGCCCTGGGCCAGCAGACCCTGTTCCTCCCCACTACAGGGTGACCCTGATATCCCCATCCTTACCCTGCCTGTGCTCCCCCAGCCCAAGCGTCACTTGGGCCCTCCAGGGAGGGCCGCTCCCTGGAGGCTGCGGGTCTGGCGCCCACCGGCCTCTCCTACAAGCCCAGCGTCACTGAGCAGTCTTCCCATTCAGTGAGGTTTGCTGTGCTGAGATTCCCCTCCCCAAGGGACCCCATCAAGGCCGTCCAAGGCAGAGCCGTGGGGACACACTTGCCAGGGCATTGGGGCTGCAGCCTCCCTCACCTCCACGTGCCACTGCTTGCCCAGTGCATTGACCACACGGCCCTCGATGGGCCGGCGGCAGGCCCCACAGATGGGGACGCCCATCTTGTCATGGCAAGGCAGGCAGTAGAGCTCCCCCTTCAGCTCTCGGGCCTCGGCAGTCAACTCCTTCCTGGAAGACAGAGCAGAGTCCCCAGTGAAGTCCCTGCCCTTTGCACAGGGCACCCGGGCAGGGGTCACGCCAGCCCCTCCCGCCTCCGGGAAGCTGCATCCTGAGAGGCCCCCTCTGTCCTAGCCGGGCTCCCAAGCAGCAGCTCTTTGATCTCCATCTCTTTGGGGAGGACTTCCTGTGTTCCAGACGGCCCCCAGGCACGGGACTCCCGCACAGCCCCCTCAGAAGGCAGCTTGTGTCCTACACCACCAGGGCTGCTGAGAAGCAGGTCTGTTCTCTGGACTCTCCCGACACGCCACCAGGGCGTCTGGAAGGGCGCAAGGGGATGTCCTGTAGCCCCTTCCTCCCTCCCTTCTCCCTTCTCCAACACCAGCGCCAAGCCCTCCCCCTGGCTCTCCAAGCCTCTGACTCCTTCCTCCCAACAGGCCCAGGGCCCTGGCCCTCCCTCATCCCTCACTGCCACAGTCCTAGAGAGAGGACTTTCCTGCAGCCCCGGGCTCTGTTCTAATCCACCCAGCTCCCCACTGTCTGCAGCGCCCTCGCCCACCTGGGGCCTCTTGCTCCATCACTGCCCCAGGCAGTGGTCCCAGCCCATCCGCCCCTTCTCAGGGCCTGGCAGAGCACATACCCGCAGTTGGTGCAGTTGAAGTGGTCAGGGTGGTAGGCGTCATTCTTGAACATCAGGGGCTGCTCGTCCATGACCTGGTGGCACCGCTGACAGATGTACTTGCCCAGGCCCTTGGCCTTCTCACGGTTGTGGCAAGGCCGGCACAGGTGCCTGTGGGGAGTGGGGTGGGGATCAGCAGACCACCACTCAGCCTCGGCCTCCCAGCAGCCCAGCCACCGCCTGGATGGGAGCGCCCCCGAACCTGGCCTGGGGCTGTAAGGAACACCTGTCAGCCTCAGGGGCCTAGGAGAGCCGCAAGCCAATCCTGGAAGACCACAGGTGTGCCCCCTAGAAGGAAGCCGCTGCACAGGAAAAAGACTAGAAGGAAGCACCCTGCATGGTGGTGCCAGCCATCTTTTCTTCCGCCTACTTTTTCTGAGCCTAGATCATCATGTGGAACAGAGTAGGCATTTCTCTGACATCCGCGAAAATGTTTTATTTTTCAAATGACTTTTCACACGTGTGAATAATCTTATAGTGATAATCCGCCTGAAGCCCCACAGCCAGCAGAGAGGCTGAGGAGTGTGGGTACACCAGGCCTGTTCACCCCTTCTTTTAGGGTCTGCCGGACAAAGAGCGACCTAAACCTCCACAGGCTCTTTCTGTCTCCGAAAACAAGCATGGCTGTGTCAGACGGAGGCCCCAAACCCAGGAACTGTCTTCACAGAGTCCTTTTTGTGAGGACCTCAGAGCAGTTTCTGATGCTGCTCCCTGCCTTGGGCAACAGCCATGGTCTCTACCGAGAGAAATCAACATGGTTTCTGTTTCCTTGGGCTGCAGAGGTGGCAGGAATCTAGATTCAAGGTCCCCAGGCAAAGACGGACAGAATCCCCAATCCATTGTTCCCTCCCACCCCAATCCACCAATATTCCTAATGCACCCTCCAATGCACAGGGAAACTTTCCAGCCCTCACCAGCCTCTCCGGCAACCCGATACCAGTGTGGGGCTCCTTTCCAGGCGGGTCAGGGAGTTAGATTAACTCTCAAAGTCAGAATCCTCCAACCAGGTGGGATGGGCAGATCCTAAAGGCAGGGCAGGCCAACTCGGTGCCTGTGCCCTTTACCACAGTGCCCATCACCTGTGTATCACACTGCTCTCTGCTCGGGTTAGGTGCCCCTTAGCTACTCAGCACATGTGAAGGGCTGGGGCCCGTGGGAGCACGCAGTAAGCACTTACTAAGCCACTGGCTCCCAGCTGTGTCCACCAGACTTCATGCTCCCCACACAGGATGAGTCTGTGGTGCGGGAGCGAATGGATGGGAAGGAGAAGAAGGGAGGAAGGTGGCCAGCGCTCCCCTATCACCACATGACCCGGTCGGGACTGGAAGCCAGTCTCCTGGCCCAGAGCCCTGGCTCTCCCTACATCATGGGCTGCAGATGTGGCCTGTGTCTATAGTTTTCAACTCTGTGACAAAGGCCATGTCCCTTTCAGAGCTGCAGGGCTTTCTCCACCCAACTCTCACCTAGGCACCCTGTCCCCCCCGGGCCCAGCCCAGCACACCAGCCATAGCAGGCCTGGGGAGGAGCCGCTCCCCCTCGTCACCCACAGTGGCCAGCTCTGGCCAGCCCACAGCCGCGGCTGGCCGTGTCTGCCAAGGACACAGCATTTATCCCACCGCCCCAGTTTTGGTGACTCCTCCCTAGGAGGCCACATTCAATCCACATGAAATAACTTTCATTTCAAAAATACAGAAATTAGCTCAAATCCCCAGGTACAATGCCCTAAAACCACTATCAGCAATCACCCCAATAGCAGAAGTGGCCTGCTCAGGGCCAGTCAGCCCCCTTGTTTCAGGCCAGCATGAGCCAGCTCTTGCAGACAACAACTCACAGAGCAGTGTGGAGGGGGCGCTGTGTGCATGCCCCTGAGCCCCAGGCAAAATGGAATTGAGGAGTCCCCCTGTCTTGAGTAAACAAACCCCAGGTGAAGATGGCTTTCTGCACAGGCCTGATCCCAGCCCCAGATCTAGAGGCAGCGTGCTGATTTCTCCCCCAGGTGAATGAAAATGGAACCTAAGACTTCTACCCTCAGTGAACAAAACACACAAACACACAAAGCAAGAGTCTTGAAGTGACCCGTGTTGGGGTTCAAATCTGTCTCTGCCACTTCCTGGTGATTTGTCTACAGCATGTTATGTCACCTTTCTGAGCCTCAGTTTCCTCATCCGAAAAATGGGCAAAAATCCCAGCTGCACAGGATAGTGGGGAAAGACAAATACACTTTTCTATGTTTTAACTAAAAACACTGTAAAAGACTTTTGAAATCAGCAGTGGTGGTTCAGATCTCCGTTGCTGGGTGTATCATTTTTAGAAAAACAGGGAGAAACGAGCTTTGCTCGAATGGTCTCAAGAGCAGCCACGTGCTACATCCAATTACCCCCCAGCCTGAACGCCAACCTCAGGAGGAGACCTGGGGGCCACAGGCCAGCGAGACACAGCAGCCCTCTTCCTGGGCCTCCTGTCCAGAGGAGGAGCCCCGCAAGGGCCAGGGCCAGGCCTGCCGGCTGCATTGCATCCCCCCAGGCCCAGACAGCGCCCCATTATGAGGCGGCCTGCAGCTGTGCCCCATTCAAGATAAAGGCCATGATTTATCCCACAGGCCCAAATGGAGCCTAATTATACAGGGCAGGACACAAGGACCCTACAGCAAGTGTCCTGAAAGAGTCCCCTCTCATTCGACCAAGACTCCTCAGCCTCCCCCTCCCCATTCACAAGACCCCTCTACTGTGAGTGGTGTGCAGGCTTGGGAGCCCAGGCCTGTTGCCCTGGCAGCCAGCCCCTCCCTGCCCCCCCATTGGTAGGAAATTATCCTGGTCTGAAACGTCCGGTTGTGTCAGTCCCAGCCAGTCCCCCACACAGCCCGTGCCCACTCCAGGTCTTCCAGGACAGTCACACACTCAGCCTCTGTGACGCTCTGTGGCCAAGCTGGGCTGGGGGGTGCCCCGGCCGGGACACTGGAATATTCACGACGCGGTGGCAGCAGAGACAGCCGTAGGAGTGGCCCACCACACAAGGGACCCTTGGGAATGAAGCAGCCTTTCAGGGCCAGAGGGACTGCTGCCTCCCCTCCACTCCTTAAATAGCCACCCTTCTACCACAAGGGCACGGAGCCCCGCCAGCGCGCTGCCACCACTGCTGCAGCCCACCTGCCCCTTCCGCCAGAACCAGCAGTGAGAGGTAAGGGCAGGGCTGGGTGGGGGCAGGCAGGGAGCTCAGAGGCCAACTCAGACAGGGGCAGGGACAGTGGGCCCCAGTCCCCGGGGCGCCTCTCTGTGATAAGGGGATGCCCTATCAGTGACAGTTGGAATCGGTACCCACGCACCTCTCCACTCAGCCCCGTGGCACAGGGAGGAAACTGTCACCACGAGCCCCCATTACAGCCCTGCCCACCCAGCCAGTCCCTCCACGGAGGCCCGAAACCTGACCCTGACCCACCGCCCCAGGCCACCCACACTGTCCAGACCCAGACGGAGCTGAACAGAGCTAACCTTCCAGAAGCCACAGCACAGGCTGAGGCTCCGGGTCCCAAGGGGATGCGTGGAGAGGTGGCAAGGAAAGCATTTCAGACCACACTGCAAAAGTCAATATCCCAAAATGGGGGAGAGTAACAAAACCTCAACAAATCAGAAGCAAGTCTGAAAGAGATGGAGACTTGCTCCCTGAGAGAGCACTGTGCATATGGCCTTTAGCCGCACGCTGAAGGGTGGGGGCTGGGGGCTGCCAGGCAGGACAGAAAAAGCCAGTGCTGGCTCACCCACCCCTGATACCCTGATAGGGGCTACCCCTCCTCAGACAGGGGCCCCACGCTCAGGGTACTGCTCTGTTGTCACCATCTTGAATTTCTACCTTTTGAACTAGGGGCTACATTTCCATTTCTCATTGGGTCCCCAAATTCATGCCACCACTCCTGGGACTAGGCCCTGAGGAGCGAGGCTCGACCAAGGATAAGGAGCCCCCTCAACAGCCCCTGCTTTCCCCCACGACTGCAACTTGTGTCCCTACCCCGGACGCTGGGCTGCTGGCTTCTCTTTTGCCCCTTTGCAGCCCAGACACGAGCAGGCGTGTGGGTGCTGGAAGACAGGGCTTCCAGGGAGCCCCGAAGCTTCGCTGCAGATGAGGGTCCACATGGTAGACCCATTAAGCAGCCCAGCACACGAAAAGCAGGAGTTGGCGAGGTCTCCCTGGCCCCACCTCAGGGCTGTCGGCTGTGGGGTGTTGGGAGCAAGTTTGCTCTGGCCCTGCTGTCCTGCCCCCTTCTGCCCACACCTCCCACCCCCAGGCCTGGAGAGGGAGGAAGGGTGTGTGGACCTTTCCTCTCCTTTTTGGAGCACTTGAATTCACTAAAATCAAAACAGGAATCTGTTACTCTGTCAGGGAGGCGTAGAGGAGGGTGGGGAGTACCTATCCAGAACTGAGGTTCACCAGATAACAACGGCTTGTCACCGAGGCGGGCAGGGCTGTGACCTGGACCCCTCAGGAGTTGGGGTGAGAGAGGCCAGAGACAGGTGGCCTCTCTGGGACAGCAGACATTGGCCAAGAAAGTCTGGACAGTGTCTCTACCTGCCCTCTCCTGAAGAAAACCTGCTTTCTGGAAGTTTAACTACCCCAGCTAGTAAAATACCCCCGCTGGCCTGAGGCCCAAGTGCAGGGTTCTAAATTATAGGTCTCCAACCAAAATGGAATTGGTGGGCTGAGTCCAGAACGCTCGAGAGACCTTGGGACCTGGCCCAGCTGGCCTTCGGGCGGCAGCAGAGAAAGCAGGCCTCTGACCTCCTAGCATATTGTACCCCTGGTGGGGTATCCCTAGGAGGCAAGTGCAGGGAGGTTGGGGTGGAAGCTGCAGTCATGGGAAAACCACAAAGGACACCAGTCAGGGAGGGCCAAGGGACTACAGGGTCAGTAGGGATCACCCAGCAAGTGCAGGCTGCAGAAGAGCTGGTGGGTACAGTGCTCTCAGGATCAGGGCCTGTCCGCAGCCTCATGCCCCACCCCTGCTAATCAGAGAATACTCCTGGGGAGCAGGAGGGTCCAGTTGCTCTCCCCATGGTGCTGACTCCATCCCTCTGGTCCAAAAGAGTGGACTCTGGGACACCCTGCCCTAGGCCTCCATTGCTGGGGAGGAGCACAATGGAAGCTGGTCCAGCCACAGCCTGGCTAACTCCAAGCCCTGGTTTGGTTTTAGCTTTATACTGAAATGCAGAGACCCTCTGACATGTGCCCACCCACAGGTACACACAGGAGCTGCCCCCAGGAGTCCCTGACAAGTGCTAAGCACAGAGCAGTGCCCTCCTCAATTTAAAGGTCAGTTGGGACTGAAGGCTTCGGAGGGCTCACTTATCTGCACAGTAGCCACTCGCCACTTGTGCCCACTCACCAGTCCCAGGGTCCCTGGGACCCGTCTGCTTGTTCCCTCCAGGCTCATCTCCTTGCTGTGCTCCCGGCTGCAGCATGAATGGCCTTGCAGTGGCCCCCCCAGGTCTGATTGCCAACTCCTCCCTGGCCAGCAGCGAGCAATGCAGCCAGGAGACACCAGTGGAGAACGTTCTCTTCGCCTCCTTCTACCTCCTGGACTTCATCCTGGCTTTTGTTGGCAATGCCCTGGCCTTGTGGCTTTTCATCCGGGACCACAAGTCAGGTACCCCAGCCAACGTGTTCCTGATGCATCTGGCCGTGGCCGACTTGTCCTGTGTACTGGTCCTGCCCACACGCCTGGTCTACCACTTCTCTGGGAACCACTGGCCATTCGGAGAAATCCCATGCCGACTCACCGGCTTCCTCTTCTACCTCAACATGTACGCCAGCATCTACTTCCTCACCTGCATCAGCGCTGACCGCTTCCTGGCCATCGTGCACCCGGTCAAGTCCCTCAAGCTCCGCCGGCCTCTCTATGCCCACTTGGCCTGCGCCTTCCTCTGGGTGGTAGTGGCCGTGGCCATGGCCCCGCTGCTGGTGAGCCCGCAGACGGTGCAGACCAACCACACGGTCATCTGCCTGCAGCTGTACCGGGAAAAGGCCTCCCACCATGCCCTCGTGTCCCTGGCCGTGGCCTTCACCTTCCCGTTTGTTACCACGGTCACCTGCTACCTGCTGATCATCCGTAGCCTGCGGCAAGGGCCTCGTGTGGAGAAGCGTCTCAAGAACAAGGCGGTGCGCATGATCGCCATGGTGCTGGCCATCTTCCTGGTGTGCTTCGTGCCCTACCACATCAACCGCTCCGTGTACGTGCTGCACTACCAGGGCAGCGGCACCTCCTGCGCCACGCAGCGCATCCTGGCCCTGGGAAACCGCATCACCTCCTGCCTCACCAGCCTCAATGGGGCGCTCGACCCCATCATGTACTTCTTTGTGGCTGAGAAGTTCCGAGACGCCCTTTGCAACTTACTCTGTGGCAAGAGGTTCTCGGGCCCAGCCCCCAGCTTTGAAGGGAAAACCAACGAGAGTTCCCTGAGTGCCAGATCAGAGCTGTGAGCCCCAGGCGTCCCCACCAGCCGCAGCCAGTCACAGCAGGCCAGCTCCCGCTCAGACTCATCCAGGGGAAGTCCACCTTCTCCCCAGTAGGCCCTGAGGAAAGAACCCGAAATTGCAGCAGGTCGCTGCCACTCCCTCAGTGCAGACCCCTAAGAACAGAGACTTCCTGCCCCTGCAGGAGGCGTGGGCCCTGCTCACTGTCAGCAGCTGAGATTCTCTGACTTCACCCAGCAGCAGGGGCACAAGGGGCCAGAGGCACAATTCCTGAACAATGAGAGTCTTTCTTTCCCAAGTGCTGCCTGCTGGACTCCCAGACTCCCTTCTGCTGCAGACACGCAGCATGGAGCCCTGCAGAAGGAGCCCCAGATGCAGCTACAAATGCCCCGGGAGAAGAGCCGAAGAGTGGGCCTCGGCGAAGGAAGGAAGGGTGTCCAAATAGCTCCTTTGAACACCGTTGTGGTGCCTTTGCAGAAGACCTCTGGGTGTAGGGAGCATGCACTCCACATCACAGCTCAACACAGTAAATGTATTTCAGGATGGTCACCAGGTGACACCCAGAAAACGGAGTCCATGGGGCGCATCAATGCACGGCTGCATTCGCCGACCCTCCTGCTATAAACCCCATGCAAACCTGCTCTGGTGGAAGCATCCCCAGAGCGTCTGAGCCCTGACCGGAGTCCTCTGGGCGTCGGATGGGCAAGCAGCCTGGCGGACAGTAATGGGGAGCCGAGATCTGTCACCACCTCAGGAAGCCTGAACTGGGGCACAGGGCCTGGCAGACTCAACCGGGTCCTCACCCCACCCCTCCTAAGAGGCCTCTGCCAGCCTCACTGGCCAAGCTGGGAGCTGCTTCACTTCCTGGTGGGGTCACAGAATAGCTGCCCCCTTTTTGCACTTGACAGGACAGATCATAAACAAAACCGGACTTTGAGACTCTGCGGGCCACTGTGTTTGGTGAACACAACACCCTTCCCAGCAGCTCTCCCTTCACCCCAAGACCGGTAACATGGATGAGAAAGCCGCAGCTCTGATGGCCTGGAGCACACCTGCCCAGGGCACTCTGAGTTTCTGCAAGGGGGGCTGCAGAGCTCCCCTCGGCTGGCGGGGAGGGACCTCTAAAGGACCTGTGTCAGGTTTCACTTTCTTGAGTGCCTCCAGGCAACCCCCACACTGTCTGCACCCATAGCCTCTCATTTAAGCAACTGCCACACGGACTCCTGCTGAGTGCCCTGAAGAGCCAAGACAGACACAAGGCCAGGAGGGCCAGGCAAAGGGACGCCATCACCGTGGCTGCATCAGGAAGGAGCGAGGGGCACAGCAGAGCAGGACGGCGGGTGCCCCGATAGGAGAGGGTGCGGGACTCAGACAGTAACAAGGGTGTTCCCAGGGAGACCGGCAGTGCAGTCAGGGGAACGGGGTGTCAGGTGGGGCCAGCTGCATCTGAGACGCCAGGGGGCGCTGGGCAGAGATGGCAGGTGGGCAGAGGCATGTCCTGAGCGGGAAGCCTGGCTCAGCCAGCTCAGACATGCCCTCCAGGCCCCTGGGACCCTGGACAGGCACAAAGGCAGCGGAGGGATGTTTGGGGAAGCTAAGCCTGAAGAGAAGAGGGACAGGGACGGCCAGGAGGCAGGAGGAAAGCGCGAGAACACAGGGTCCTGGTCCCTGGAGAGGAGACACTGCAGTAAAGAGGAGACGCCATGGAAAGCTGCTGAGAGGTCAGGGGAGTATCTAGCAGTGACCGTTGGGCCCGGCATGTGGGGGTCATGGGATCCTGAGCAGACTGGGCTGGGGGTTGCCAGCAGGTATGCCTGATGCGAGGTCACAGAGAATCACTGGGAGGAAGGCCTGAACCCTCCGGCCCTGGAGGAAGGAGAAGGAGCCCAGAAGCAGCACAGCCTGGCTCCAGGAGTTGGCAGGGTGAGCAGGGATGCAGCCCCGTGGCAGAGGCTGGGGCTGGAATGGGGGCAGGGAGTGGCAGGGGAGGTCATCCCTGTGGGGGCTGGGGTGTAGATCAAGGGGAGTAGGAAGAGTGAGGAGAAAAGAGCAGGTCTTCTAGGAAGGTAGGAATGTACCCTAGTCAGGAACTGGGCACTAAGTGCCAGGAGGGCCGCGCCCCTGAATTGAAGAGTGTATTGGGGGCCTGGTTAAGTGATTTCTTTCCAGGGCATTCAGCCGGGCTGCGAGGAGAGAGGTGGCTGCTGGGGTCAGCAGTGTGGCGCGGCTGGCTTGCGTGCAAGCTCCTTATCCAGGGCATCTAAGGGCTTCCGTTCCTCTGCCCCCCTCCATGCTGTCTGCCTGCTCCTGGGAGCATCCACAGCCTGGGGTGGGCCCTGGCTCATCACCCCTTCTCCCTGCACCCTCATTCCTCACCCAATGACAGGCTGGGGTTCTGCCTGCTTGCAGGGACGTGGCATTGGCCCCAAAGCCCAAGGGACCTGCACTCAGAGAATGCATCTGCGGCGAGGGCTCTCCTCCCCGTGGGCCACCTCACCTGCCCGCGTTCCTTACAAAGCCCAGGTCAGCCAGCTCTGCATCACACAGCTCGCAGCGGAAGCATCCGGGGTGCCAGTTGTTGTTCATGGCCTTGATGACACGGCCAATGATGAATTCACCTGGAAGAGAGAGACCTGCTCGCCTGAGGGGGGCCGGCGCCCCCTCCCCGTGCCACCCACACTGATGCTCCCTGGCCCGGGGCCTCTCCCATAGCTGGGCAAGCACTGCCTGCAGGGGTCTGAGGCTGGTGTTCAGAGACACCGGGTGCCATGCCCTCTTTCCCCGGGCGCGGAGGCTGTGCAGGCACCAGTCCTTACCGCAGGATCCACAGCACGGAGCGAACAGCATCTGGAAGTCGTGTTCACAGTACTTCCGGCCTTCGAACTGCAAATGGACTCAGCAGAGGAAGGTTTCAAGTCACACATCATAAGGCTGCCCGCTGCTGCCACACTGCTCTTTGTGGAGTCAGGCTCTGCCCTCAGGGAGGCCAGACATACACTCTACTTGGAGCAACTGTTATTGCCACCAGAGAGGCACACCTCCACCCTCCCTCCAGAGAGGGCTTCCTGGAGGAGGCGAAAGGAGGAGCAAGGCAGCACGGGCGAGGTCCCGAGAGAGGGTACTCCAGACAGGAGCAGCAGGTGCGAGTTCTGGAGACGGGAGGGAACTGACCCATCTGACCTGGGGACAGTGTCAAGTGAGGGCCTGAACTGAAGCTGGGCGCTCGGCAAGGCCAGCCGCTGTTTGCAGGAGCTCATGGCCCTGCTGGTTCCAGAAGCAAGTCAATTGCTGAGGCCGGGGACTTAGGCGGGATCAAGTCTGGATTACACGAGTCCCTCCGCCCTGCTTCCTGTTTCTGCTCTGAGAAGTCCACTTCCCCTCAGACACCACACAAGACCGGGGGAAGGGAGACAGAAGGGGGGCACAAACGGTGTGGGGGACCCTCAGGGAGGGCACCAGTCCTATGGTCAGCAGGAGCCAGTGTGGACACCAGTCGGGCAGTAGCTGCGCCTTCTGTCTGGGCAATAATGGGCCTCGACTGGCCAAAGTGTGACCCAAGCCTGCCTTTATTCTTTGCCTTTGACAATGTTTATTTTATTTTTAAAAATGTGGTTTTCCCCTGTAAAATGCAATTTTTTTAGGCTTAACGGATACAGTCCTACCCAATGGCCCATAGAGACAGGGGTTTAAATTCATTCAGCAGTGAGTATTTCCTGAGTACCTACTGTGTGCCAGCATTTGTCTGGACACCTCTGGGCCTGCCCACTGCCTCCAGGTGGGGCAGCATTCGCCAGGAGGCACCCCAAGGAGCACTTGCTCCGAATACTCAGTCAGATCCCACTCCCACCAGCCAGCAGCTACTGCCAGCAGCTCCACCTTTGAAGTCTACAATCACCACCAGACCAGCCACTAGGGCTGTGCCCTACAAGCGGCTCCTGGTGGGGAGGGGCTGGCTTGCAGCATCTGCCAATCTCTACAACAGCATGAATTCTCCCACATGACAACAGCAATGGGCTTGAGAAGAGACTGAGGGAGCCACCACTTGCATTTTCCACCCCTAAGGTACGATGAATAGAAGAAACCTCAAGGGCATAGATAACAGTAACATGTAGTGAAATAAATAGGCAGTGAGAGGTTTGAGCATTTGTTACCGTTGTTTGAATAAAGTTTTACCTCTTTGTATGTTTATATCATCTACTTTACAGCAGCTCTCTTAACAACCAACTTGGGAGTGTGAAAACTATGTGCTTGTGAGTGTGGGTCAACCTCGGCCCCTTCACCTTCACTGCAATCATCCGGCTTCCAGACCCACCTGTTCCCCTAGCTCTGTCTTGGTCTCCTATCCCCACCTACTGTCCCCTCAGCACAGCAACCGAATGCTCCTGTTCAAATGTGACTACGATCCGTGCCCCGCCACACCTCCCAGCGTGAAAACCTAAGGCCCGACACGGGCCCACTGAGTCCAACAAAGTTCCCTTAGGCTGCCCCTCTCCTGTCGCTCCCCTTCCACCACTCCTGCCTCAGCTGCTCCTCAAATTGCCCACACAACCTCACCTCAGGGCCTTCGCACTTGCTGTGCCCTCTCCTAAGAGTTTGTCCTGCAGACACAAACATGCCCTATGCATATCCTTCAGGTCTGCTCAGAAGTTACTCCCCTCATGCCCTCCTCCTTGCAGAGTCCTTATAACCAGGGTCCTTAGCACCAGCCCACAACCCACAAGTTCATTGTGTCTACTGTGTGATCCCCTGAGAGGGAGTCATCAGGGCTGAGTCTTTGGGCCCCAGGACCTCCCAGAATCCACCCAGAGGAGACCAGATGACCAGTGACCCCCACTTCAGCACCACAGCCAGCAGAGGAGCCCCTCTTATCTCACAGGAGAGGGACAGGCCAAGGTTCTGAGCTGGCAGGAGCAGAACTCAGCTCAAGGCCTGGCATGACTGCCCCATCAGGGCGCAGGCTCCTAGAGGTAGACGCTGGGCCGGCTCAGAAGCTTGGGCTCCAAGAAGGCAGCCAGCAAGGGCCCTGGCAGCACACTTACCTCGTAGAAGAGTCCCTCTGGGAACGGCCGGAAGCACTGGGCACACACAAAGCAGTGCTCATGGTACAGCTCCCCATTGCTGTTGACTATCCGCTCGGCGGGGGTGAAGCGGGCCTGGCAGCGCTGGCAGACGGCGTTGGCCAAGGCATTGGACATGTTGCTGGTGGGGGAGAAGGAAGGGGAAGGTCAAGATGGGGCAGTGCTGAACAGACACAGCTACTCCCTTAAGATTAACATGTTTTCCATGGTAAGGAAAATCACTCTCCTCACCCCATGACCACCTTGGCACCAAGCTATGTGACACCAGCTCAGGTGACCTGCAAAGCTGCTTCCAAGTGCCAGTGCATGCCAAGGCTGCAGGTGCATTTCCACATGGCAAAACCCACCATGTATCTCCACTTTACAGATGGACAAGGCAAGGCCTGGAGAGGGATGACCTTCCCGAGGACTACAGTGGGCAGAGGCAAAGCCTCAGTTAGAAAGTAGCATCCCCACCCCCCGACTCTGAAGCCCTGTTATTCCAGAGCACTCTTCCCTGGAGGTCTCAGACAGGTGAGGGCCATGCAGGACTGACCCTTTCCCTCCAGGCCCAAGCTCCTCACTGCAGGAAGGACCATAATCATGGCTATGGTGACAGGTCACAGGTGGGCTGGATGAAGGACACACGAAAGCACTGGGTACACACCCACAAGGACAGCGTTGTGCTTGTCAATGATTTGGCTCCCAGGCTGCTCAGCCTTCACTGGGCCGAGCTATACCTTGAGGGTTGGTAGTTGTCTTAGCGCCTTCTCGTGTCTCCCAACACCCCTTCTCAGAGACTAGAGTCTCGGGTACAGAGATATCCAGGCATAGGTGAGCAAGTCTGGATCCACTCTTAGGCACTCCGCACCCCTGCCTTCTAGGTGAGAGCAGGGCTCAGAGTGCTGGAGTAATTTGCCCAAGCCCACACAGCAGATAACAGAATCCAGGTTGGACCCAGATGGGTCAGACTTCAGTGGCTCTTTCCTCTCCATCATGAAGGAGTTTCAAAATCACCTGTCCCCCAAAAAAGATGCAGCACCTTATCATGGAGGAGGTGGGAGTGAATCTTTGGGATGAGAGCAGGGTGTGGAGCAAATTTCCTTACCCATGGTGGAAGACTGCTGTCCCTGGGGTAAGGGTGGCCCTTCTAGAAGGAGCAGAATCCAAATAGAACAACTGCACGAAATTATCCACACTGACCAGACTGGCACCCCTGCAGCCCAGGATCCTGAGGCCTGGCCCAGAGAAGTTGGGTCGGGTATCTTTTTAGCCTGTTCTGTCCCCCCGCCCCCCGGAATTGAATCCCATCCCTCCCTCACTGCGGGGGCATGAGGAGTGAACAAGGCTCCTGGAGGATTGCTGGTGTCACAAGCAGGACGAGCCAGGGGCAGGAGAGGGCTCTGTGTCTCTGGGCCTAGGCAGAGGTGTGGGGGTGCTCTAAGGGGGCGTTGCTGCTGCATGGAGACAGACTGGAAGCTGGGCAGGGGCATGATGGCAAGAATTCCTCCACACCCTCCTGGGGGCTGCATGTGGCAGGGCCCGAGCCCCAAGGCTTTTCAGTGAGTCTTACCCGGCCTGCTAGACTTCTGCAAGGCCCAACTTGATCTCAGGCAGCTTTAGGACCAAAGCCCTTCCCCCTTCCAGCCCATGTGTCCGTGCAGGAGAAAGGAAGCAGGAGACAGGCAGAAGGGACAGGGATAGCCCAACACAGAAGGGGGCTCTGCACAGCGGCCCCACCTGCCCCTGTCCAGCCCCGCTCCCACTTGTCTGCACAAGAAGGGCCAGCAAGGATGGAGGACTGGCCCCCGAGCTGCCCGCCATACTCAGCTGGGTGGGGCTTGTCCACACAGTCATGGTTTCCTGCCAGAGAACAGAACGACCTGGAGGCCCTTTCCTTGCAAGGCACACGCCCACCCGGAGTGGGGAGGAAGTTCACTGAGGCGGGAGCCGCCCCGCCAGGCCGGGAGGCACCAGAAGTCAAAAGGAAATCCTGTGACTCTAGGCCTGGAATTCCCCATCCAAAGGACCTGGAAAGTGAAGCCAGAACAAGGATTCAAGTCCAGCCCCAGGCTTTTGGATTGTTTCCGAGACCCAGGCCTCCGGCCCCTGGCCAAGGGAGCTTACTGCACGCCCACCTGCCGGCACCCTGTCTTTGCCAGTGTTCGGGGGTGCAGCCACAGCCCCCGTGTCCTCTGGCGGTCAGTTGGGCTGATCCAACCCTCTCGGCTGCCACTGGTGGGTTGCACCCTCTACCAAAGTGTCCCTCCCTGTGGCCCTCCACCTCCGCATCCACTCCCAGCTTCGTGCACAGACTATTGCACTCGCCTGAGTTTCTCTGCTCGAAGTTACCACGTTTTCCTGCTGGGACCAGGACAAGCACTACCCCACGGCAGCCCTGCCACACCCCTTTCCTCCTCTGCCTGCTTGTCTCCCGTGGTCACCACAGCAACCAGCCCCTGAGGACCAGAGCCGGTCTGTGTCCAGTTCCCTGACTGGGTCCCTGGGGTATCAGGTCGAAGACTTCGCCGTCCATCCCCACATAGCTCACGCAGCCCTGGACCGGGCAGGTGAGGGTGACCACCTACCTCCCACCCCTTCTGACCCTCCCCCCCCCAGCTCCTCCTGACACTGCCGACCCCTGACACTGTTCCTCCTGGCCACACCTCAGGTCCCTGGGCTGTGGTGGGCACCGAACAGGTCAATGTGGGCCTTTTTGTGCAGTGGAGTAGAACTCCTTGGGCAGCTGAACCCCCAGCTCTTCTCCGAGCCGCTTCTCCGAGGAACACAACCACTTGGACTCACTGGGACAGGCAAGTAAAAGTGCTCAGCCACTGACCCACAACCCCAGCAGGGACAGGCCACTGTCTCCTGCAGGGGAGGCAGTAAGAGAAACTGGGGGTCTCAGCTCACACTCCACATTAGAATCCCGAGAGGCCCTGTCATCAGCTGCGGAACCCAGGAAAGAGGTCGGTTTCCCCGGGCCTCGTTTCCTCCACTGCGTGGAGGAGCCCGGGAGCAGCAGCAGCGGCCTCTGGGAGCTGAGATGGAGAGCTCAACACACATGGAGCTCGCGCCTGGGGACAGGCAGGCTGTAGGCTGAATAAAGAGCTGTTGTTTTCCCACAACTCTGGAACCTTCCAGAATGCTTCCACCGCAGTACAGTCCAGGACAAGTCAATAGGCTGCCTGTGCTCCCTGGAGAGCGCAAAGCTAGGAGACAAGGACATTCCACACCCTCCTTCACACATTCCAGCCAAGAGTAGGGAGCACAGAGCCTGCCCAGCTGCTCTGCAGAGGTACCCCACCGCCCAGCCAGACACACACACCGCCAAGGGCAGGCCCAGCTTCCTAGAAGCCAAACCCCAGAGCCAGGGGAGCGCATACCACCTGTGCCCCACCCCACCCTACCCCAAATGCTCTGTCTTCATAGTCAACACAAGTCAATTTGTTGCAAGATGTCACTGAGCCAAAAGTTCACAGAAAAACTAAGGTGATAATCAAGCAGCATATGAACATCTGCACACCCATGCCCGGGACTGTCCCGACACCTGACCTTCCGTCGCAGGCCCACACACTCCTCACCTCCTGGGTGTGCTCCTGCGCGGCATCCTCAACGTGGAATCTCTCCGGCATGGCCTCTGGCCCACCAATACCCTCATCACCGCTCCCTGCACCATACTCACTCCAGAGAGGTCCCGGGTCGCTCAGGGGTCGGCCAGTGAGGGTTCCCACTCAAGAACTGCCACACTCAGGTGAGTTACTTGGCCTCCAGAGCCTCGGGCTCCACACTGAGCAATGAGCCTGTCCGCCCCCACACAGTGCCCAGGGCCATGAGGGGCCTGCAATGCCGTTTGCTAGTTCGTAAGCCAACCTGGAGTACACAAGGTATTGCAGGGGTGCTGCTCTGCAGCCTCTGTTCCCCACTCCCCACTCGACGCCTCCCTCTTTCTCCAGACATCTGCGACAGCCTCAGTCCTCGCTGTCCTGCAGAAGGCTGGGCTGGCCGCCGGCACACGGTGAGTCCAGGGCTGGACGCAGCAGACTCCCTTTCCTCCCTGACTCCTGTGGCTGCTGTTTTCTGTCTCCTCCCCAGCCCCCTATCCCCCGCCAACCTCCTCATCTGGGGACCTCACCTGTCACTTCTCTGCCAGTGATCCTGAACCCGCAGCCCTCACTGCTCTTTTTCCAATGTCCTGCTGGAGCTTTTCGCCCAGAGGCACCCTACGAGAGCGCGACCCACCCCTCCAGCTCCTGAGGTGGGGCGGTGGCAGCACCCCCAGCCACACACCCTCCCCCGCCTCCCCATCCAGGTGAGACAGCCCCGGAGGTGTTCTGACATCCATCCTGAACCCCACAAAGCGTCTCTCCCAGCCCAAAGGAGGCCTCCATCGTTTGCCCACACCGTGGGATAAAACAGTTCAGGCTTCAGGGTGACCCCAGCGCGGGTTCACCTCACAGACAGGCAGTTTGGGGAACCACTGAGATCCAGTAGGCTCCTGGCTCCCTCTGTAAAGTGGTAATAAATGAACCAGTCTGACAGTGCCCCCTGCTCTGTGCCCAAGGACTGTGGGTCACAGGTGACATCAAGCCCTGCCCCTACTGTTTCAGGCCCCCCAGGCTCTGTCCCGGGACCTGAGCTGCTGCTGCTAGGGAAGGACTGGGCAGCTGATCCAGGAAAGGCCTGCAGCTGCCGCCTTCCGGTCATTGTCCCTCTGCCCTCCCCACCCCCTGTCCCTGGCCACCTACCCGGGCGTGGGGGGCGGGGGGCTCTGCCGGTGCTGGCGCCTCCTGTACAGCCCCGAAGCAGCCAGCGCCCCAGACGCGTGGCCATGGCAAAACCGCCTCCTGCTCTCACGGGGCTCCCGCCTGGGGGCGACCACCCCAGCCTTGGAGGACAGAAGTGGCAGGACTGTCAGGTCTCTGGGCAGCACCAGAGCCGACGGGCTGGCCCGCGGTGAGGGGCGCCTCTCCCCACTCTCTCTGGACAGGAGCTCACGTTACACAGACACTCTCCAAAGGGCAGCCCAGTCAACTCCCAATAGAAAGGATATTGTTCCCGCCGCGGGGGCAGCACAGTGAAAGCTGAGGCTGGTGGCACTGGGTCAGGTTGGGGAGGCAACTCTCCAGGAAGATCCCCAAC